TGACTAAATACACGAAGCTAACGGTAACAGCTAAAGTGGCATTCTTAAGACTTCATAAGTTGAGCATTACTTATTCAATTGAATATAGAAAGAAACTCGAACACAAAAAAGAAGTGATTAGAGTTTTAGATCAATTTATACTAGGTGTTTCATTAGGATTGATTTCTTCAAAAACTTTCCCAGCGAACTACATCACAATTGTTAATAAAACTACATATCACCTTTACAAGGAAATTTTTCCACGATTTTTTCCAAGCATCTCTTGGCAAAATTGAACCGGAAATGAGTCATGCTACATTGTCAAATTTAGTAGTTTGGGTAGTGTTTCATTCAAAATAATTCTGAATTGACAAGTTGTGTTCATTTGCATAAATAAACAAACCATGTTCTTCTGAGTCAATTTTTAACAGTTTTGACTTTGGAGTAGTTGAAAATCCAAATTTTATACGAGATTTGTGATCAGCAGACAAAAATAAGTCTAATAAAAAAAACTTGATTACCTGCAAGCTCCACATTACCATCAATCTCCTCTACTTGATATGTATATCGCATTGCTTCATCGTTAAATTGTGTCATTTGTCCCTGTATTTCAAATTCACCCCCATCCTCAATAACATACTGTACAGCATTTTCATCATCGCCTATGTCTTCATAAACTATTTCATGTCCTTCAACAGCATTGAATTCTGTATTACTAAAATCATAACAATACTTAATTACCACTTCCAACAAAATGTCAAATGATAATTTAAATTTAGGTAATACAAAAAAATCATTCTTACTCGATAATGTATGTGTGAATAACATTTTGATCCATCGTATCTATATGCAAATTTCCATCAGAATTATTTGAGGGAAACTGATTAAGAATAATGGGAAATTGCTGTCCACCTTGAGCAATTTGAATATTCTGGAGAACAACAGTATGAACTTCTTGCCCTCTAACATTTTCCTCATATTCATCTGATCCTTCATTATCTTCTCTATTTTCTGTTACCTCTTGATATTCAGTTTTGACATCTGTTGATTCATTTTTCACTTGTTCATCTATGGCAAAGTTTTCCATTTCCTGAAAAATTATTATTCCAGTAACCAAGTATTGTCAAGTTTTGCCAGAAAAATATTTGAATATTTCATCTATATTAAATTCTGGCAATCTGATTTCCATGATGACAATGAGTTTACATGAACTCATTTCTAAAATTGATTTGATAGAAATATATTTCAATTTAAATCTGAAAACTATGCAACAACTAAGGAGGTTGACAGGATGAAGGTTACTGTGACAGTGAAATTCAGAAATTGCCATATCACAAAACAAATTAGAAGCAATTTCTAATGATTTCAAATATGCCACTAGCAATGCAAAAATTTGTAAAGATGAGTGCATGGGAAATATTTTACTTTATAGTTCAGTTACCTAAACATGGTCTTACCAGAATTAAATTATTCAACAAAATCGTTGCACAACATAAATGATTATTAACAGTTATTTTCTAAAAAGTTTCCAAAACTTCCGAACTTCCACTAATTAAACTTCTGTTATCTGAACTTTCACCCCTGAAAAGTGGACAACCTTTCAAACATCGTAGCTCGTAGCACATAAAATGGTGGCTACCTATTATCCAGGCGTGGCGTTTATGTTAATGCGCCTGTCTGCCTCTATGTCAAAAATGTCGAAACCGAGTGATAGTTCATGTCAAAATCGAGTGATAGTTCCGTGATCAATGTCATATGACAATGTCACATTTTCAATAATAGTTGGCACTTATATTGAGTTATTCCTTTTGTTACTCTGAGATTATTCCAGATAAGAGTTATCCCTGCCTTATCTATTATGATCGAGCAAAGAGCGCGAATAACTTTTGACGAGAATGGGGGATGGCCATCGACATAAGTCGGTGTGGATGGCTCTTTATGCGCCTCAATGGAAGCAAAAGCCATTAACATAGAGAGAGAGAGAACAGATATGTGATAAAATTAGAGGGAACAAAACACTTATTCAAGTAGCACTTGAGATTTTCACTGTTCAATGAAAATTATTACTTGAATACGTTATGAATTTTCATCAAGATTTTGACCAATTTCTTCACATAAAATCCACCAAATCTGTTCCAGTTTTAGTTACCATGGAAACTCGAAAATAACTTTGTCAACATTTACTATCCTAATTTTCAAATCCAAAATTATCCATTAAAAATAAAAAATGATAGCAAACATATATTGGGGATAAAATATATTAGAAATTGAGAAAGAAATCAGTATGTCTGAAGAAATCACTACTGAAACGATTAAAAAGACACAAAAAAGTTTGGGAAAATATGTGAAGAAACCATCATTAACAGAAAAATTATTAAGAAAACCTCCCTTTAGGTTTTTACACGATATTATTCACACGGTAGTTAAAGAAACGGGTTATTTGGTCGGCCTTTTTACAGAAGAGGAACTTTCATCAGAAAATGTTAAAGATAAAGATTCCAAAATAAACTTTTTGGATAAACTTATCGATGCAGTTAGTAAGAAACATAACATTCAAATGAGGTCACCAAGTGAATATTTTTTTTTAGGAACTACTACACAAACCAAATTAACTGTACGATCTAGTAAAATTGTTGCTGGTCTGGAGCCAACGAATACAAATCTATTATTACAAGCTATCGCTAAAGCAATAGATAATAAAATTGACACCTCTAGTTATGTAAACCAACTGAAATCTGCGAAGGAAAATAAAAAATCAGATACATTAAAGGAAGGAAAATCTAAAACTGGTTCAAAAGAAAAAAATGTTAGAAATAAGGAAACTGATTCCAAATCTTCAAAACGTGGTAAAAGTGGTGATGAGATTCCAAAACAGAAAAAAACGATTGATGAGACTCTGAAGTCAAAAAAAACTGGAAGTGAGAGCTTAAAAAATAAAAAAGTTTCAAGTTCTCGAGATTCCTCTAGAAATAAAGTATCTTCAAGAACTAAAATAGGGACAGAATCACCACAAAAGGTCGTTGAATCAGAGAATGTTGCAATGAATGAAATTCTTCAAAATGGTCAAAATAACAAAAAAGTCGATAATGAAGAACTAACTGAAAGCAATATTTATGATACGACAAAAGAGGGTGACATTCTTGTACAATCTCAACCTCAGGAAAGTTCGAATGAAAATGCTGGTGAGAGGAGCACAACTGAAATTATTGAAAATGATAAAACTTCCCTCAGAACTGAGGAGAATCTCAAGAATATAAGACCAAAGTCAGCAAGACCAAAAAGTGGCGAGAAAAAATCAATATCTGTCATAAAAACAGATTCGATTGATAAAGATCATAACCAAAATGTTGATACTATAGGTAACTTTATATTATGGTTCGTCACAATGATCTTTCATTCAAACTTTTTGAAAACGGTATAATTTTCAATGTTATCAGTAATGTGGTTTGCGAATGAAATCATATTCAAAGAAAAAATCTGAAAACATTAACAGTGAATATTGCCTGTATCTGGTTAATAATAGTGTTCTTACAGTCGAACATTTTTTAAGTAATGCTGCTTGAGTAATGAACTGATAGTACCTAGATATACAAGTAGATAAAATTCTCACCAAAATTTTCTAATGAAATCTAAATCGATTTTCAATTTTCGGTTCGACTATAAGATTCGTGCTAGGTTCATCTTGCTTTCAACAAAAAAAAGTATTTTATTTAACATATTTTTACTCTGGGATTGTGTTTATTTGTGAAATTGCTTATGTATCTGGAAAAGAAAGGTTCTGATTGAAGGTTCACAACAAATGATACTCTAAATATACTAAGTAAATATAAATATGAAATTTTGTTAAGGAGGGCTATACATTATTATTGATGCTACAAAATAATACATTTAATGTAAATAGAATATCTATGCAGTATAAAATTTCGGTTCTTCATACCAACTCAATTTCAGTAGTATTCTGCTGGTAGAATGGAAAACATTTTACTCTGCATCATCTCAAACTTAAATCTGAGAAAGTTGTTCAGATTGACATTATTTACTCGAATATGAATTCATGGCCTTAAGTTTTAAATAAACTCATAATACCTTGAAAAGTGAAACTTGTGCCAAGGTAAGTCACAAAAAAGAATACATCTTTATAAATACAATTTCACATATATTCATATATAAAGTATATGAACACATGGGAAGAAAAGAAAATAACGAAATGTGCTTAATAACCATATATGAATTAAATAAAATTATTCAGAAACTTAGTTGACGAAATGTAGGTATATCATGATTTATTGAAATTCATTATATTATGAAAAACAAATTCGTAAAGTCGCTATTAACCATTTTTTAATTTTATTTTTATATTTTCAGCTGGTAATATAATACGTCCCAAAAGCTCTTTGAGACCTCCAAGCGTTCGACCATCAAGCTCTAGACCCGGTGCCCCTCGTCTTAGACCAGAATCAGTTTTACCTCTACAGGAAACAGTTACAATGGGCAACATAAATGTCATTGTAGAGAAAGTAGATTTAATGGATGATGAAGAAACTGTTGTTATAGAAACAACCACAGAGATGCCCAGGGAAACTTTAAGAAATCTTGACATATCAGGGGACAATAAGGGGCAGCTGGTTGAGCAAATATTAGAGCAAATTCAAGAGGAAGAGGGCTCAAAGAAGAAAGTTGACATCGATTGGGATGCAGATGGTTTGTACCTCTTATCCTGAAAATGTGATAGGTACTAAAACATGTATAAACTTCAAAATTGAAAAGTAAAATATTGAAAAATTGTTGAAATGAAATTTTGAATTGAGAAATTTTCAGGCACAGATATTGAAATATATTGCAGTTCTATTGAAAACACTTTCCCAACACCAGAACAAAATTATAATATATTTATTTCAAATAGGCATCCTAATATACAAAAACATTTCAAAATTGGATAGACAAAAGTCACAGTCCAACTTCATAATACTAAAATATGTATGCTCGGAATTATCCAAGCATTCAATAAATAGAAAAAAATAATGTAAATTACAAATACTAGGTATATATGTTATTATAATATCAATGTTAATGTGAATGTTGTATCTTCAAATGACTAGTAAGTCTTTTTTAGAATGTCATAAAAGATTCACTTTGTTTTATCTCAAGCGGGAGGTTATTGTAGTCCGATAGTCCTTTATGGAATAAGGGGTTCATGGATCGTGTAAAGTTCAAACATGATATATATAAATTAGAATTCCCCTTAGTGGGGTAATTATGAATTTGGTGATGGAAAACAATAAATTGGTCTAAATATAATGGTGCATTACCGGACAGTATTTTGAAGATGAATACCATGGTGAGATAGAACAGACGGTCTTTCACAGAAAGCAAATCCAGAACTTCCAACATTGTTGTAGTTGGCGTATATCTATTACATCTTAAAATTAGGCGCATGCCTCTATTCTGTAGTTTTACGGTCTCTCGACACGCGTTTCGCCAACCAAGTTAGCGTCCTCAGAAGATTATTATGATCATATTGCAGTTGTATATAACAAAATGAAATAAAATGAAAAGCTGAAAATGAAACTTTGTTTTATCTCAAGCGGGAGGTTATTGTAGTCCAATAGTCCTTTATGGAATAAGGGGTTCATGGATCGTGTAAAGTTCAAACATGGTACATATAAATTAGAATTCCCCCTAGTGGGGTAATTATGAATTTGGTGATGGAAAACAATAAATTGGTCAAAATATAATGGTGCATTACCGGACAATATTTTGAAGATGAATACTATGGTGAGATAGAACAGACGGTCTTTCACAGAAAGCAAATCCAGAACTTCCAACATTTTTATAGTTGGCTATTCTGTAGTTTTACGGTCTCTCGACGCGCGTTTCGCCAACCAAGTTATCATCCTCAGGAGATTATTATGACCGTAATTTTGTTCTGGTGTTGGGAAAGTGTTTACAATAGATTCCAGAGGTTCCAGTACGAACTATCATATTGCAGTTGTATATAACAAAATGAAAAGCTGAAAATGAAAAATCAAAAGAATTTCAATATACTTCACCCCGTTTAGATTTTGTTTATATCCACAATAGTCATATTCATGAAAGTTTTATTTTTTAAATTCGTATTTTTTTTTAACCCCTCAATGTTCTTATACATATTAGTCTTTCTTTCTTTTTTAACATTTTCACTATACCATCTAAATATGTTGATTCAACAATTTATTTCTTCAGATATCAAGTCTTTTATGTTTTTGATAAACGTAAATCCAAACACCCACTTGTCAAAAGTCAACATTTACAACCACATTATATTGTTTTTTTATGATTCTGTTATTACAGCATTGCATAGTGAAGATTCAGCATACAAAGAAGTTAATCAACTTCGGACCTATATTCAAAATCTAACAAAAACTGCCAATCCCTTAGGAAAACTGTTGAATTATCTGCATGAAGATATAGATGCTATGCATGGTGAGTTACAGATGTGGCTGAATTCCAAGAAGCAGTTATCAGAGGAAATACAGAAACAAAAAAAGTAAGTGTGGTTGCTCAATACATACCTACTTTACCTTGCCGTCTCGCAGGAATAAAATAGTTAGGTTAGGTCAAGAGTGAGTGGGGAGTAAAATAGTAAAAAACACTTGAAACTTTTGGAAATTAAAGATGGATGCAACGGTTTGCTGCAAAGCAATTTCATGAATCTAATGGCCAAATAAAAAATGATTCTTTGTGTACAGTTGTTTGAGAGGTCTGAACTCAAGAGTAAAATGATGATTCTCTCAGTTTCTGAGTCATAAGGATATTTTCAAAGATATATTCCACCAGGGAGTCTTGACACATTGAGTTTTATAGATCAGTAGTAATGCTAGGAAACCGCCCACTGTTGTATTGCACTTTGATATTCAATTGAACAATTTTAGAGATGATTGAATTAATAACATTGTAAAGCAACCAACGACACGAAACATCACGATTTTATGAGATTTATACATTTTTATTATGGGGTTAGCGAAACTATATATATGTTATAATAATACACTAATCAAATGTAATTCATTACACTTAAATACATAGTATTATTCTTCTACAAGTAAAAATAAATATAGTTTAAAAAAGCTAAAAAACACGCTTTTAAAGAACATCCAACTAAAAAGTTAAATAAAAGCTTAAAACAATAACGAACGAAAAATACTATATTATTGTGAAAAAAGCGACGGGTGCTTGATATACAAAAAATATGGCACAAAGCGCCCACACTTTTTAAAGCTTTATTAAAAAAAAGCTTATTTAAAAAAAATATTTTCAACTTTTTAGTTCGATATTCTTTAAAGGCGTGTTAATTAGTTTGTTTCAACTATATTTATTTTATTTAAACTTTGAGATCAATCAGCCGTATATTGTTTAGAAAAATGACCATTGATATTTTCCGATTCCGGAGAGGGAGCCTGAAAATCAGCTACCAAGCCCAAGACAGCAGGCGCTCAAAGGATGGTTACAAATTAGGCAGCAGGCGCGCGTGTTATTAAAAAAAAATAATTTTTTCAAATGAAGCAATACATGTAAAGTGAGTTCGAATTATATCATGGAGGTTACCTACAGCGACATCTTCCCGCGAATAGATCAAGCAATAATGTCGATAATTCTGTCAAATACAGATCCCAAGCTTGAGAGTTACAAACAAACAAACATAAGTGAAGCTAATATAAAGCGTGTAAAAAGAAGAAAGTCAAAATAGTCAACTTCTACTATTAATCAGAGAGAGAGCATTTGCTTGAGCTTGTACTTAGTACATCGAAGTGTTGTAGGCAATTTCTTAGATTTTGAGATCAATTGATAATTCACGTACACTATTGTTTTTATAATTTAAATTGTTTATGTTTATTGAAAAGTTTGTATGATTTCAATTCTTTTATGCTCCACAACTAGTTGTTTTCAAAAAATAATAAACCGCAACCATTTCATATTTCACAGTAAGTAAATTTTCTATCACAATTATAAATTTTGTTTGAAATCAAAGATGGCTCTATCTGATTTTCTCCACTGGAATAATAAAATTGACAGATATAGGAGTTGAAAAATGGTATATGAAATACGTTTTCACAGATTAATTAATGAAGTGCTGACGAATTTTATAAAATTGGCCCATTGGGTTTTCACAATCAGTGAAAGCAACATCGCTTTGTTTACATCAGTTTGTTGTCTCATTTCAGATGCACAAATTAATGACGCTCTGTATTCTCTTGTCGAATCAACTGTAAATGATCGAGATCATTTTCAAAAAATAGTGATAAGAAAATCATAGAAAATCATAAAGCAACTATAGATTGTAATTATAAAGTTTGGAAAAGTAAAACTCTTGGGTAAAGCCAAGTACAATTTATACTTTGACAAAAACATTAATTTCTTTTATTGAAATGAATAACAAAGATAGATATGTTTAAATTTATTGTAAAAGATAACTCTTAAAGCTAGATTTTTTCACCGTATTTATAGATTTTTGTTTTTAGGATAAATGTGGAGGCTAATAAACCCCTATTGATCCATCTCGACCAGCTTCGACAAGAAATTAATAAAGTTAAGCAAGAAATAATAACGGCACAGAGCAATATTTCAAGGAATGATATAAGAATTCAAGAATTGTTAAGTAAATGATGCACTTGTTAATTCATTTAAGTTAGGCATATTATTGATGTTTTCTTCAGGTTTTTATTAGTAATAGAAGTAGGCCAAAATACATTTTTATATTAGTCTTTGCATTTGGGTACTTTTTTGTTAACACAGAGAAAATATATATTGCAACTATGAAGGCATTTTGATTCCTTGTTTCTTATTGATATATATGCAACGATAGTAAATCATCTACTTCTGGTTGAAATTCAATTCCGAAATTAGAAAAATAATCGTGATATTCGATTTCACGATTGGACAAATTTGTTCAGTAAAAGCAATGCGACTGTGACTGTCATCTATCACTTTTTAAACAACCATATTATGTACAAAGATATTCTGATGTAAGCGAATAATTTACATGATTTGAAAATTGCAAGCCCATAATCTCAAGACAAAAGAAAAATACTCTCAACAAAATTATTTGAAAATATACAATTTTTTGTGCTGTCACAAGCACCAAATTAAATTGTCCTTCAATTATAATGAATAAAGAGATGTTTTTAAATTAGTTCCTTGTTGATTTGCCTCACTGGTGCTTTAGTCTTTTATTATCAATTTCATGTGATATTTTTGCCCCCCTTTCCTAATTTTTATATATTTTTTTCTTTGTGAATGTTAAATGATGTTGGGTGAATGGAGAAAGTACAAATAAGCGGGTTACGATTATTTTCATAATCCAAGTTGTCAGAATTTACTTTCTTTTCAGCAAATGTTATGAGGAAAAAATCTCCTTTGTAAGATAAAACATTTATCAATTCATTAGTTCGGACTTCCATTGTTTAATATGATATAAATTGATTGTGATGGTGGAAAAGGCTTTAGCTAGAAGACAGCGAGAGCTCCACAAGGAAGAGAAGCTGCCACAACCAGTACTTGTACTTCCCTATAATATCAGAGGATTGTCGGAAAGGATTGGGTCCAAGTATAACGTCAGAATCTATTTCAGATCTGGGAACACTATTCGTAGCAGCCTCACAAAAACTAGGCCACCCAACGCGGACATATCAAGAATTGCATTTACCGGATACCCTGCGAGTGAGGAGAATCATACATTGGTGAAACTAAGAAGCCATTGAAAGTTCGCATTGCAGAGCACAAGAAACACACACAGCGAGGAGAAACCAGTAAATCAAGAATAGCAGAGCATGTTTGGGCTCATCAACATAACATCAAGTGGTCTCAAGCTGAAATCATCCACAAGGGGGAACACTGGTTTAAGAGAAAATTCAAAGAAGCCGCATATATGATATCGAACAACGCATTTAGCAAAGTTAGTATAGATATACGCAACATATGGAAACCTAATCAAGCGGAACACGATCAACTCCCGCCAAACAGTCAGCTTCCATTAAATCCGATGAAGTGGAGAAAAGGAAGAGGGGATAGGTGAATGCACTCGAATGACCTATAAATAGTCAGATCTCGGAGGAATAAGTCCAGTTATCACCCGAAGACGATTGTGGATACTAACAATCGAAACGTCCTGTAGTAACTTGGGTTGGAATCTTTTAATTTTTTGTTAATAATTTTCAATTTCATCTCGTGTTAATAGTTCTTTTTTTTTTTATTTTTTTTTGTTGTTGCTTGTATTTTATTTCATTGTAATTTCAGTTTTTTTGCTTGATATAATTGTTATTTTTCAGCTAAACCTTTTAATTTTTTTAGATTCTTTCAGGGATTTCAAATCAATTTATATCATATTAGACAATGGAAGTCCGAACTAATGAAATGTACCACGTAACATTGTCAACCACCTTCAAAAAAAACATTTATTATGTGAAATATATTTTAATGATAATGTTTAGGCTATTTAAGATAGATTTGGTGTCTCGATTAGACTTATTTTTCCATTAGATATATGATGGATTTGGCCAATACTTGATGAAAATCCATAACGAATTTAAAAAACACTTTATTGTGAAGTAGAAAGCCAGAACCTCTCCCAAAAAGTATTCTGTATATTTTAAGGGTTCGATAAACTACTATTATTCTTCTAAATAAAAAAACCTGTGTGTCTTGGGACGTCCGACAGAAGTGATAACTTAAACTAAGGTGAACTATTTAATATTGAAATTGTTCAACTTGAGAAATGCTTAGGTTATTACTTAAATTTTATGTATATTGATATTATGTAAGGAAAGGTTATTTATTAGTAAAATCTTTCAAGTATTTTGTGTTTGTACATATATTACAGCTACCATAAGCCAATTGTTACTTTTGTAGGATTGAATAATGATAGTAATAATGTACATACACGGAATTAGTATCATTTTAAACCATGTTTCATATAATAATCACTCTTATTGAAAGCATTTTGGAGTATGCTTCCATTATAAGGTGTCCTCAATATAAGTATAGCATTGAAAGAGTTCAAAACAAATTCCTGAGATATATTGACTTCAAAGAAACAGGTAACTATGACCTTGATATTTCCAAATTAGTGCTACTTGAAAAGTACAACAGTACAAACTCTCGAGAAAAACAAATATTTGCATACTTAATATACTTGTAAAAGATGATACATAGTGGAGTACAAATTATTATCAAAATGCCCCATTAGATGCTATGTGCAATGTCTATAATAATGTACAAAATGAGTGTGATATCTTCTTCCAAAATCTTACTAGTTTTAGAAATAGGTTGTATGAAATTGTACAACTCTTGTTGATTATTTTTTTAATAACTTTTTTGTCATTTTGTTGTATATACAAATCTATTTGTTATATTTACTGGCTATGGTCTGTAGAGTTCGTGAATAAAATAAATAAATAAATGTTAAAAATGTTAAAAGAATATTATGTGCTTGCTGGTTAGATTTTTATAATACTGTCAACAGTACATGTCTTAACGCACACTAAACACTGATAGTCTGTCCGACGAGAGAGGAGGAGCCTGCCTTCCGCTGACGTATGCATGAGAGAAAGGGAGGCCAGACAAACTAGCGCCGTTACACACGCGTTAGGTAATGAAGCAGTTTACCCTTCCAAAAATTATCACTTCAAAAAATCATTTATTCAATGGTGAGCATGCTTTCTGAATCAGAGCCATTGGCTATAAGTTGAGCTGAGAATTATAACATTCATTATAAAGGGTACTGAAAAAATGATTTATAATTCTATAATATTCCCAGTACACTCATTATCAGTGATTTTAATTTGTAGTCACTTGAATAAAACACATTTTAACAGAATATTTCTTGAAATGATTTTTACTTCATTTATATAATTTAAATAACAAAATATTTACAATGTAGTGCACCATTATACAAGACCACACTATAACATTCGTACATAATTTGATTTATATTACATTTCAACATCTGGGGTAGAGTTCTCGAAACGCGAATCGAATATGTTGTATATGGTAAAATTCTCTATCTTTCAAATTCAAGAGTGACAAAATGACACCCTGATTTTGTCATATGCGACATATTCCAGATGTTTTCAAGAATTCTACCAACAAACATAAAGAAAAATATATTTCTACTTATTGCGAAAAAAAAATCTCAGGATGCACTTGTTTTGCAGGCTTGTTTATCTGGGATTAGTACACATACAGTTTACAAAAATCTTGTTTCCCAATTTCAGATTAATCAATTATAGTTAAGTTAGGCACATCTTGTTTACACTGAAAATTTCAATGACAATAACAGACTTTATGAAATAATTATTTTAAATTGAAATATCGAGCTGACAAGTATAAGTACATTCCATCTCAGATGAATATAAATTTTCAAATCCAGAATATATGATTATTCCAGAAATGTCTCAACTAGCACAGAAAAACAAAAGGATATTTCATTTTACATATTTTAACATAACTCCAATGTCATGAAATTTCATTCTACACTCAGTACACAAAGAGAGATTCAGGAGAGAGAGTTTAAAGTGACAGAAGTCTCAATCATTTTTAACAAAAAGGGGTCACTCAGTTGGCAAAGGATTGCCTTTTTCAGATTATGAAACTAGTAACTACGTAGAATAGGAGCTACTACCAGTTACTAGATTTCTCACGTTACAATTACCTCCTAAAATGTAAAGTTACTTCTCATTGTGATGCTCAACAATTATTCAAAATTACTTGAACTTTTGAATGAACTAAACAGAACTCCTGTTTCCATGAAGATGAGGTCTCAATTCAGGCACCCTGTAACTATTTTATAACTCAAACGATCCAATTTCTAAAATTTAAAATAAAAATTCATACAACTACAACTGAAACAGCTCGTCTTGTTGCTCTTCATGATGCCTCAAAGAAGTCCGTACTTTTTTTCCTTGCTGAACAACTATTGCGTGGGGCTGGTGAAAATTGTCATCACCTAAATTATTTACTGCCTGCTTCATTCTAGAGACTGCAGGTTGACGTCGTTCACTACTTGACTCCGAATTTATGGAAAATCTATAAAAAATTAAGAATTTTGCGAACAAGTGTTAGATATGAGGCTGAAATGAACTGTTGAATCTTCATTTCAAAGGATCGTGCTAGTTCTTGAACGACTTTTAATTAGACATACATATTTTTGTCCCCTGATCATGAATCTAAGTCAAAACTTGTCATTTTGCTCAACTTTTGAACATACTTTAAAGTTTAAAATGTCTAAAAACTGACAATTTCAGGTAGACACTTCTGATAATACAAACTCATAAAATTACACATCCTTATCATGATTACAAGCTGCAGACCCTTATGCAACTATTGAAAATGTTTTCACAGAATGAAAAACAGATTATTTTTATTATTCAAATGTCTTCTGAAAGGAATTTAAAAATTAATTATACACCAAATTCTAAATGTATTCACTAATTACTTATATGTATCCTTTATATTATACTCGCCACTAATCTTTGTATTTTAAATTGTATAATCTATTGATCTTAGTGCTTTTGCTCATCTTCATGTGCTTGAGTTTACTTCTTTTGTTTAATTTTTAAATTGTACATCGATATTTATATGTTTCTTGTACTATTATTAAAGGGGTGATATATCCTATGCAATAAATAAATAAATAAAAATATAATTTAATAGATTCAAACTGAAGCCTGAATTTTTCTTAATTTATGAAAAGTATAATCTTATTTTTGAATGAGAACTTAAAAGTAAACTTCCTTAAGGAAATTCTCACATTTGATCATGCTGGATATTGCCATTCACTGATCAGTTGACAAAAATACATGACTATAATTGAAAATATTACAAAAACTCACACAATCTGTTGAAATGATAATTTACCAAATTTGATTTCTAATATGCATATTGCAGTTATTACTTGCTATTGCGAGTTGTTTTTTTAACTTCTTCTTTGGTGGTTGCAATGGCAGCATCTATTTTGTTTAAAAAGTTATCTATATTATCATCATCATCATCATTATTAACACTTGAGGTGCTAGGGGATACAACATCAGGTTCTGGGTTCGATGGAGCTTTTTCTTCAGAACCTGGCTCTTTGCTGGGAATCAGAAGGAACTCTCGTAGAAATAAACTATCGGAGGCCCATAATTTGTTTGATCGACGTATTTGTTCTATCTACAAAAATTTGATTATTTTCGATATCCTAGAGTATTGAATAATTTTTACTAACTTACTGTTACATTATATTTCAAAGCTATTCCTTGCAGTGTATCTGTATTCTCAACATAATGTTTACGAAAATATTCATTGCGTGATATGTGCCTACTTGTGCTGCCATATTTTTTGAGAGATGCGGCAGATTCTCTGATACTTAATTTTTCATAAGAACTTCTATCCATATTTTTTTATGGTAGAATCACATAAAGTGAAAAGGTTCCTACATCTATTATCCATAGATTTCTAATTATGTAGTTTTTAACGTTTATCACTCATAAATACATATTCATTGCAGCAAATCTTGATATAAAAGATTAATAATCCTTATTACCATTTACATATAACTTGAGATCTAGTCACTGATTGTGATTATTAGCAAACTTCCATGGCTAATCAGTCTCACTTGTCAGTCACTCCACTCCGTCACTGCTCATTTTAGACGTGGTCTTAAATACGTTCGGTAAGTCCACCAATTATCGATTGATCCGATGGGATTCACCATTTGGTTGTGCGTTTCTATTGGTTGTCAAGAGGCGAGTTCTTAAATTCAACAGAACATATCCGATGGATTCAATCAATAGAAACGCCCTAACGTTTCGAATGTACCCATAGACGAAATCCATAGGATAGGATTCATCAGTGATTTTGAGAACTCGACTAATATGTCAAGTGTCAAGGCAAGCCAAGAATAAATTGCTTTCGAGTTGACGCCCGAAGAGATTCTGCCAGTCGTCCGATTTGACGTCTGGCAGAATCTTCTAGGATTGGCTCAATCCAAGGTGTTTGATCACCCTTCGAAGCTTGATACCAAACAGTTGTTGGACTACAGTAGGGATAAACTACGATGTTTAACAGGCCTTCTTACAGGTCACTGTCATTTGAATCATCATATGCAGAGACTCTGACTGTCGGAAGACAGTGTGTGTCGTCTCTGTTTAGAAAATGATGAAACAGCGGAGCACATACTTTGTGCCTACCCCGCTGGGGATCGAATTGGGTTTTTAGAGTTCAACAGAGCCGTACTCATACCATCTGACCTGAAAGACTACTCACCATACAAACTAATCGGCTTCGTTAAGAAGCTGGATTTATTTGGTGGAGTGTGGATACCCTTGCAAGTGTCGGTGGAGGGTCGAATATAGACCCATTATTTACTTTGGACCTAACCTAAGCTAACAAAACCCTCACGCGAAGTTTGAGATGAAGGAATGAAGTTATTATCAAATAAAGTTACATATAAAAGCATATTGGGCTCAACAGTAATATTCTTCCATATACAGGATCATCAGTAGGAGTGTGATGTATCTAAGTAAGATTTTTTTAAATGAATGACATAACATAATGTTTTCCATATTCAAATTCCGCTAGAAACGCAATTTTAGTATCATTCGCCCCATTTTCAATGAAAATTCATTTGAAAAGTCTGTTTTCTTGTGAAATTGTTTTTAAAATGTTTTTTTTTTTTCTCGAATAATTTGACCAAAACCTATTTTTGAATATTGAGTGATTTATAACTCGAAAACAATTTTTCCGTTGTTTGTTTTTAACGGAACACCCTATATTTTATTTTATATGTGGTTTCACCGTAAAAAACGTGCTCAAAAATATGGAATTACCTGAATATATACCTAGCGTTTTTATTGACAAAATTATTCTTCTCAGAAGATTCAGAATGATAAATTGGTTTTTCATTGTTGAAAAATAATTTGATTGAGACACTGATGAGAGATTCAATATTTGAAAACAATCTCTCATTTCGTATTATGGTATCCGTGGACTGTCCCTTAAATTTTTTGAATCCTATTTACACGATAGATCACAGTGTGTATCATTACCTGGGATTAAATCGAATGTGAAATCTGTGTAACATGGTGTGCCCCAAGGTTCTGTACTGGGACCAATTTTGTTCATTCTATATATAAATGACCTACATTACCATATACTTCCTAAAATATTTTCTATTTGCGAACGATGCCACTTTGGTGGAGTATCACAGTAATGTGAATTATTTGACTGTTTCTGCTAACGCCACCATGAAGTCTGCAAGTAACTGGTTTCTTAAAAAATAGGCTTCTCCTCAACGAAGGTGAAAATCAAAATCTTGAAATTTCCACAAATACAAATTTAACCTCGGCGGGTAAACATGTTGAGCTTCTTGAGATCCATATATATAGACGACAGATTCAACAGGTCAATGTCATGTTAACAAACCGGCCAAGAAATTATCAAGTGAGATATTTATGACTCGTAGACTAAAGGAATTCGCCGGTATCAGAGCGGTCAAATATTCTTACTTCGAACTCTTTCATAATCACATGGTATACGGCATAGTATGAGGGGATTCTTGTCGTTCCAAAAACTGTTAGTATTGCAAAACAGAGTTATACGTCTGATATCTAATGCAAACTTTAAAGATCATTGTCGCCGACTTTTTAATCTTCAAATTATGCCACTTCCTTCAGCTTTTATATATGAAACATTGATTGAAATTCATAAAAATAGATCAAACTACATTTCACAATCGCAACATGAATATCCAACGAGATTAGGAAATCTGATAAGAACTGAGAGATTCAGGCTATATAAGCACCTCACAGAAAAAATTCATTGAATTTGAAATTCTTTAATAAATTACATTTAGTTGTTTGATAGTATTTGTTATTGTGTACATTATTCTGTTATTCAAGCATCTTGATATTTGTATATTATTTGAATGTACAACGATATAGAAGAATATTTTATAATTTTCGGATATGCAGTCAACAAGGGGATGGTAAAATAAGTGAACCCTTTTTTCTGTTCTAGCTTTCGAGTCTTCATTGGCTCTTCATCAGGAACTCTACAATGAATTGATAATTGATTTTAATATTTGTTTTCACTTGCTACAGATATTTATTCAAATGAATCACGTAGTCAATAAGCTATTCTATTCTATTTCGTAACTATTTCTGTCATAAATTACGAATAATTGGGTATACACAATAACCCCATATTTTTGAAAGATGATTTTCAAGGACAAATGATAACATCTTGAAATTCAGCGTTACCTTTGAAAGAATCAAGAAAAAATTGTTCTCGAGTTTCGATTCATATATTTTTGGAAAAATAATTGTAGTCAAATTAATATTCGATAATTAAGAATCTACAATTTTTGAATATTTGCAATAAAAATAGGTACGGTCGAAGAGAAAAACTTTTCAACATTATTTTTGGTATAACTTCTGTTATCCTTTTTTTATTATATATTAATAATGATTTGACAAGATACAGATTAATTCAATCTCCAACGATTGAAATCCAACGTGAATCACTACTATCGCACAGGCACCGGATGTTCCTGTAGTGCTTGTGTTCTGTCTCGTGAAAAAAAAAATATTCGTCTCTCCAGAATTTAAATAAAATAGTAAATGAAAATATATCCAAAATTTCAAAATGTTGTGAGTTTAATACAATTTCTTCCGATATTCATGGAACTTATTTCATTACACTTGAATTTACGCTTGATATCAATCTTGAATGCAAATAATACACTAAATGCTTAGGACTATACATCGATAGTAAGTTAAAATTTGAATTTGATAAACATATTTCAGCATCAAAGAAAAAAATCTTCTGGATGTTTTGTTGTTAAATTAGTAGCCAATGAATTAGATTTGTAATCTGCAGAAATGATATACTATTCTTTGATCGACCCCCCCACTTGCTCTACGGCATTGCATTCTGCAACTAGAATAGTAATTTCCTCAACAGTATTCTGCTCTTCAGAAACGTTCTATCTATATATGTGCAAAGCTAATAATTATCTCAACTCTTGCAGACCTTTATTCAAAGAATTTAAAATTCTAACAGTAATGGTAACATATATTTTAGAATCTGTCACAATAATAAAAATCATATGGAGGGGGTTTGGGTCACATCAAGTGCCATACCCCACTATACAAAAACAAAATATCAAACTTCCGAGTCCTACTTGTTCTCTATTTGAAGATTCCTTCATACTAATGGATGTAAATATTTAATCATTCACCTGACGAAATCAAAGTATGTATTGTCAAAATGGTTTCTTTCAGAGGTTTTCAGTGTCACTATTTTTCGGGTTAGAAGGCCGTCAATTTTTTGATTTCTTTCCTGACGTTTCGCTAGCGCGAAATTTATGAATAATTATATCTCAAAAATCATCATAAATGAAAAGTTTAATCGTTAAGTATCTATAGTATCATGTTTCATAGGTTTTGAATTCAATTGTTAGCGAACAATGTCAACTGATACAGAATACTTAAAAAATTTGGTGATTTATTCAATGGACGAATTGGATCAGTTAGTTAAAACTTAGTTAGTTAAAACTAAGTTAATTCTGAAAACAGAACAGGTGAGGGTTGAACTGAATGTGTTAGAATCCATCAACACAACTATTAGACCTATTGAATGGAAGCATTTGCATTTGTGAGGATTTTTCAGTAACAATAAATTCATATGTGAAAAAAATGATTGACGCATATCTTTAGTTGCAAGTTCATCCTGAAAATATATCAACAATCCGAGGTTATTATCATTATAAACAACTTCCTTTCTGAGTAAATTTTGCACCATCTTCATTCCAAACGTGAATGGACCAATTTTTAGCAAAAAATGACGAAATAGTATGCTTTTGGATGATATTCTGATAACTGCAACCAATTTACATATGGTACAACTCAAAAAGATTACAGTTAGCAGGAGTTCGAACACAACAATTGAAGTGTAGATGGCTACAAAGCGGTGCGATACTTTTGGGTCACAAAATTGATGCAGAATGATTACATCCTACATCAGAACGCATTGAAGCTATAAGTGCTATGCCAAGTCATACAAATATAAGTGAACTAAGATTTTTTCGGGATAGATAACTTGTTGTGGAGGTTTTATACCAAATATACATGTTATTTGATTTCCATTGTACAGACATGTGAAAAACAACTCAACATTCAAGTGGACAGTTGATCACGCCAATTGCTTATGATTCATGCACTTTGAGTGATGAGGAAACCCGATATTCTACTAAAGATAAGGAATCTATAGAAACCAAGGTTGCAATTACAAAATTCCTCCATTATATATATATGGAAGACATTTTACACTGTCAACAGATCACAAGCCTCTACAACGATTATTCAGTAAATACCATGAAACACCTAACATTGCTAGTAATAGAGTTTTCAGATGGTCCATGACATTATATAGCTACCATTTTGACACAGCATACTAGCCAAGTCAAGACAATGCACCTCAAACTACCACTTCCTGATACAAAAGCATCACCTCTGGAAGAAGCTGGACTACCTAAAAGAAAATGTCTACATCTTAGACTACACTACCTTCCTACCACAAAGTTTTGCAGTCAAAAAATCAAGTGATGCTATTCTCAGAGATATAAGATATTGGCCTGATAAAAGACAACTACCTAACAAAATTCTTTCATACTCAATACAAGATCATTTTGCAAATGATGACTTACCTGACATATATAATTGAAAAGGAATTTTCATTTAATTTAGGAGGTCTAAAACAAATTAAATAGCTCATAATTCTAGAAGTGTATTTTTGAAAGTTTTATCAATCTATTTACATGCAGCCAATAATAGTCAATTATTCATATTATTTTTTTGAACTTCCTTCTTCATTGACATCTGAAAAAATTGAATATTAATTTATGTAACTAGGGGAAAAGAAAAACTTACTTTTGCCATCACACGCAACAATTTTAACCTTGTCAATTTTTGTAATCTCTTGAACCTCTCGGAACTCCACATCATTGAGCATAAATGTCCATACGTTGTCACAAAATCGATAGGTATTCAATTTACCAGCTTTGAATGTCAATCTTGCCTTAACTCGAGTCGCTAGTGTTTGATTAATGGATTTGTCGAACTGCAATAGTACTTTGCAAGCTAACTGTGGAGTTATTTGTCCATACTTGAAAATAATTTCAACATGAAATCAGTATTTAAATCGCTTCCGCAACAACAATGATAATAAATATTCAACAAAAGATTTAAAAAAATGACCAACCTGTATCAATTCGTCCAAACTCTCTTGCAATGTGTGCCCCAAAGTTGTATTTCTATATAGTTGATATGACATGGTTTTAGTTTGTATAATTTTAAATATCACCTTTTTCTCAAGTCTCTATAAATTTTGTTTATTGTATATTATATCTTGAAACATTATAAGTACCTTTCCAGTAATTTACAACAATCTCAACTGGCTGAACTGGCTTGTGGTTTTGTTATCTAAACAACAAGAAAATTCTGTTGATTGTAGCATCGAAAGTCAAAATCAGTGCTACTATTCTGTGTCAGTGCCCAGTTTTGCCAACCAATGTGTTTCCAACCAGTGGCGTTCTTTCACCAAATTTTCGGGATAAATTAAATCACAAGTATAGGAATATGTATTATGAAATGTGACAACTGATTCTTCATCGAGAAAACCTGCTATAGTATATAAAATACGAAATGAAATATTCGATTTCTAGTTGGAATTGAATAATCAGAAGTCTTACTTATGTGGATATAGTACTTTTTGCTGCGAAGGCCAAAAGAATCGTCGGAAAACTGGTGATATAGTTCCATTGAATTATTGGAACTGCAAATTTGGAAAAAAATAATTTTAAACAAACTTTCCAGGCTGTCCCTGCGAAATATCTTTGAGGATGAAGAAAAATATGAACTTCCATATTTCCTAATGAAACTTCATGTAGAAATGGCCTGACCCCATTTAAGATAATTATTGTAACTCAAAATTCGAAAAACAAATATTTTGGTCAAACCTTCTAGACTGTCACTATAAAATATCTTCGAAAATAAATAAAAAAATATAAACTATTGATATTTCTCAATGAAACTTCGTGCAAAATGGTCTGACTCCGTTTAAGAAAATTATTAAAACTAGTTTTATATGTAAGACGGAAGTACCGGTTGTTAAACGGAACAGGGTGCCAACTTTAACTACGTTAAACTACTTGTCCTTACAGCTTACGTAAAAACTCCCGATATAACCGACTTTTCAAATTTCACATTTTAGTTTTATACTTGATAATGGGGTTAAACCCGAAACCGGTCGTATAGAAGCAAATAACTAGTGGTAATTAGACATTATTTTTGTTCATTTTATTAAAGTCATACACAATAAAAAAATGATAATCGATCCATAATTGCTTGTTAATAGTGATCATAAACTAAAACTGAAATGTTATCCATATTCTTGGAATCATGGTAATATAATTCCTAAGTGTTCTTGCAAAAATGGTCTGACACCGTTTGAGAAAATTATAAAATTAGAAATTCGAAAAAAAAAGTTCTGCAAAAATAGCCCCACGACGTTATTTAAAAAAAATCAGGACTTACCTCTTTGACTTTTTTTGAAAATCCATCACTCAACGATGAAGTAGGAGAAGAAAGTTCTCCTGTCTGTTTTAAAGCTAATATTTGAATTAAATCTAAATGAATAACGAATATCAATTATATTCGAACGTGGATTGTCTATAATTATATTCACAAGTATTGTATTTCTGAAAAATCATGGTCATTACATGTAGCCTATAGCAAAGATAGCTAAATCCTATCTATCTTGAAAAAAAATGAAAAATAGTGCAATGAAGTGGGCAACTTGATTATGGAAAGAAAAAAAGCTGTGGCCACATGCTATAGAGATCTCAAGCTTAATACTAGATTGAATACAAGTATAATATCGTTGTGTAAGTCATATACTCCTTCTTGTACCTTTGCTTAATAGTATAATGCAAATTGCCTGCAAAATACTTTTATAATGTTACTTCGTGAGATACGAACAATTTCAAGAGGTGATCTTTATAATTAGCCGTAATAACTGATACAAAAAGTTATTATTTTGAAATATTAAACTCCGACTATAAAATGTTATCTGTATTTTCATTGCAGTTAATAATACCACATATTCAAGTAACACTATGTGAGATTTCTACTAAACAATGTACAATAGCTTCTTCAGCTTGTATGTTAATATAACAGTTTCAAATTTGGTATTTAGTCATCCTGATTCAGTATTATTATAGACTTATTAAGACCGGTTTTTCAATCACCAGGTAGGTTTTAATTTGATGCTGAAATTACATTCGAATACTTGATTAAGACATTCTATTAGCTATTGAAGACTTATCTTAGTTGAAAAGTCTATTGAAAAGCCGTTCCAACAATTCGCTTAACTTACAAAAGAAATCAGGTCACTAGATGTATGAAGGGATTATTTATTTCCCTCTTACATACACATGTTACAAGCAGTTGAGATGACACATTTCATTTCTGCAGAGTCGGTATTTTTATTATAGTAGGTGTTGATTGATGCTGAAATCACATTCTATTAGTTTTTGAAGACTTAGCTGACAGTTCAACATGTATATTGAAAAACCATCCTAACAATTCGCCTTACAGAACATTCTTTTCGAATAAAATGTATCTAAAACTGGAGAATATATTTAGTAAAGTTGTTTATGACAATTTTTGGAATTGAAATATGTCAAACAATTTTTTTCTTTATTACTCGAAATGAAACTATGAGTTTCATACATTCAGGCAAGCTTTTCTTGATTTATCTTCCATATTTTTCATCCTTCACAATGGTAGTAATCGAAGTGTTTAAATACCATATAAATTATCAACAATAAAAAAGTAATGATTTTAAACTTTTCACAAATCCACGAAAAAAAATCACAGATCTAATAATAAGAAAGGCAGTCAAAGTAGAATTGATTTATTTTAATGGAGCTAATAGACGTTTGGATTGGATTAAAAAATCTTTAGATTTCTTCAAGTCCAAACATGTTCAACTATAATTACTCAGGTTGCCTATTTCTTTTCAATACCTACTAGGACAGATGGCAGAAATGCGATTGGGTTTTTATGAAAATTTCAAAACGAGAAATTCAGAACACAATGTCATTGCTAAAACTTCGAGATATATAACGAGACGAAGGTTATATTTCGAAGTCTTAGTAACGAATTTAGCTGTTGCTAGCAGTCAACGCATATATGATACCATTGATAATGTCTGCCGCAGTAGCAGGCAAAACGTTTTGTACTACAAGTTCCATTCGATCTCTAATAGTGACTCCGGCCGTGAAAGCCTATATTCTCGTATTAAACGATTTAAACGAATAGACACAATTTTTTTAGAGAATATTGAATAATCAATACTGTCAACTGTCTCATTATGCAGCGTTGGAAGATTCAACGAAAATAAAACGCTTTAATTTTATCCAGCGGCTGGAATCAGCAATTATCTAGATCACATTCTGCGATAAAGCGGCTTTAACCGTTGGAAGCTGTTGGACGCAAGCGTCGGTTTAAGTCTGTCTATTGTGTCACAGCATATGCTGAGAAGGCTGTCTAAGGCTGTGATTGTGTTTTGTGGTCAATGTGTCAAGTCTGAATGTCTGATTATTCTGATTCTCAATCTGTCTAATAAAAATAAAATATTGCCCGACGTCAATGTGTGAGGTTTTCATTAGTAATGAAGAAAAAATATTAATTTTCCTTGAAAATTTACCAAATACACGGTATCTTTCAACGAATTATCATCATTCTGAAACGTAAATGATCTAATCCTTACTTCCTTGGTGGTGAGATACGTTTATATTGATTATAATTGGTTATCAGGTGGTTTTATAACGGTACTCTCAAATGTAGAATTGAATTCATGAAATATTTTCAGAATTTTATTTAGATGTAAAATTTGAGAAAAACCCATCAGAAATCTGGTAATCAATGGATGTTGAAATGAATAATGCATTGTCCTCAACAATTCTGTACACTGTAATTATTAGTTTTTTGTAGATTTTTAACAATAACAAATTAGATATGGATGAACAAAGCCCCGAAGTTACATTTTTGTTTCAATTTGGTCTTATGAGAGATGCTGTAACAGTACCACAGTCTTCCCTAAATCTAAGAACTATCAAACATCTTGCATATAACTTCCTGAATTCTAAGGTAAACAAATCAATATTTTCCACTGATGCACCAAGTAGAATCATTGAATGTGAATTTTCAGATACCCGACCATGGAGTTAATAAACTAGAGGACAGGCTATTGTTATTTCGCCACGTTTATAATTCTAATAACATATTGCAATTAATCAATTCTGCTTCAGACATTACTGATGAAACTCTAATCGAGATTGTATTAACTGGAAAAGGTGAGAATTAGTATTAGATGTAGATGATTGTATTTACACAGATTCAGGTTGAAATGCCTAGACGCTAAAAAAACCTTATGGCATTACTTTGTAACAATATTTAAGAAAAGAATTTGTTGAATTGTAATTCACTTTTAATTCAAGATCTCAGAGTAAAGCAAATACTTTAGAGAATATATCTAATCTAATTCAGGTTGACTTGAGTTTTGATTTGGCAGAGTCTTTCAATAACTTTGCCACATCTTTTGTCGGTCAAGAAGCTTTTCAGAAGATGTACACAGAGTACTAGACTGATGACACAGTAGTTGATGTCATTAACAACAAACTAAATTTCAATAGTATCTTCAGCTGAAATTATTTATTTTTTAAGTAAAATCAAAGGAACATGAAACATTCAAAGCTGGACTGACTAATGTCAAAAAGCTATAATGATTTCTTCATTGTTGAGTTACTAAATAGTAACCCAACAAAATGTTATCCTATTCAATAACCTTAAATGTTTTGTTTTATCTGTCATTTTATTTTTTTCAGTGTTGACCGATTCTTTGGTTTCTGAAATAACGGTAGTAAGACCTCATGCTCTTTCTGTTCATTCATACAAAACTCCAACATTTTGTGATTTCTGTGGGGAGATGCTCTTTGGGCTAGTTAGACAAGGACTTAAATGTGATGGTAAGTACATCGTTTTCATTATTAATTGTATTTCATTAATTGTATTTCATTTCATTGGTGGCAATTACAATATTGTCTTGTTAACAATATACATAGTTAAAAACTATTTAAGATTTGGGTATTTTAACTATAGCCTCAAGCTACCTTTATTACAATGTGGTAAAACAAACTTGAATCCATTTACAACACTAAATTAGAGTAATTATGATATATATGATTATGACGTAATACCCTTTCACATACTAACAACTTCTGAGTAAAGTACTAAATTAATGGGAATAAGGTGTTCAATAAATTGACAAAAACATTAGAACTGTAAATTAGAACTGTAAAATGACTGAGCCTAATTCACTGTTGATAAATATTTCTCTTCAAGTTTCAACCCAAATAAAATTTGATGTCTTCTGTTATACTTTGTTTTTCCTATTGTCAGTTGTGAATATTTTTTGAAGCCTGATATACTATATTTATTTATTGTATATTATTGTAATACTGTACCCTTATACAGCGCAGACATAAAAAAGTCCTCCCCTCTTTTAACTTTCGAACAGGACAAGACAAATCATAGTTGGAAAAAGTTATGTAAAAACATCATTTTTAGTACTTTTTGATAAGAAATATAATATTGTAGCATCACTTTTCGCCAAGAGGGTGCTACTTACTTTTTTTTCAAATAGAAATGGAGTTTTGTGACACCTTGTTTGATAGATCTATCAAACACTGTTCATCTTTGGAAATCGGATCGGCCATTCTTGAATAATCCTAGTTTGTCCAAATAATTTTTTTAAATGTTCACCAGTTATGTAACATATACTTTAGATTTATAAAATCACATCAAAAAATTTGAGGGCGTCATATCAGGTGACCTCAGAGTAACCCACTAGATTACCTGATTTGATACCTCTTAATAAATGTTTTCAAGGAGGTGTGTGGCATCTGATATGTACTAAACACAAATACAGTTCATTTCAGAACTCGTGGATAGAAAAAAAAAGTATTTGAAATAAAATTACCCCAGAAACATTTCATAGTGTGAGAAATAAATTATTAAACAGACTTCATTATTGTCAGGAAGTAATTAGAAACATTTCGAACATTTATTGGCATGAAGTGGAATGAGTTCGAATACATTTTTTTAAAACTATGATATCAATTGTTTGGTTGCTAACTACTCATTAACTGTCTATCTAATTTTAAAACATAAACCAGTGTTGGAAGAGAGTCAAAATACCTGTCCAACAATGTATCATAAGATACTTTTTTTTTGCTAAAAACAAAAATTTAAGGTGTCGTCTTGGAAACAAGTGATGCAACACTTGTTCTTACCAAAAAGTAAATAAAAATCATGCTTTTTTTCATAAATTTTATTCAACCTTGTCATCCTATTTCATTCAATAGTTAAAAGGCAGAGACTTTTTACGTCTGCAGTGTATATTTTCTATGCTTGAAGTTTTATATCTTGACTTTTTTATTATATATTACTTTGTATGATCCACATGAGAAACAATAAAAACCACATATTTTTCTTGATATAATAGGAAATATCATTCATTTTGCATAAAGAAAAACTGCTATCAGTGACATTTTATTCATTTTTCAGTTCTCGGTTTTTATAAAAATAGTGAGAGAGAAATATTTTTTGTCTGAAGAACAACAGTTAATTCTTATCGATGAAGCTCATCTAATGAAAAACTGCCATCAGTGACATTTTATTCATTACTCAGTATTTACTCTCGGTTTTTATAAAAATGGTGAGAGAGAAATATTTTTTGTCTGAAGAACAACAGTTAATTCTTATCGATGAAGCTCATCTAATGTTGAATAATGTAAAAAGTAGACATATAACAAAACACGCATTAGTCATAGAAAATAATAAATGAAGGTATAAATTCAGACCAGATTACACAAACACAAAATGCATGTAAAAGACTTAGTATTAGAATCAAACCAGATTTCAAATCTTTTATTGAAAAAGTTGGCAATGTAAAATAGCGTGACCTCTTATTGAGTGATTGTCAGAATTCTCTTTTTAAAAAATGAAGTATCAACTGCTATGTCCTGCTCAAATATGTCACTGAAATATATATTGAAAAGGTTAGGTCCTAAGACTGTTCCCTGTGGTACTCCAATTCCTATTGATTCTGGATCACACATACATACACATATAGATAGTCTTGTCAAAATATCAAAGAATAATACAATTTACAGTAAAATATCAACACGTTAAAATATATAAATTTGCTAATAGGGGTCTGACACTTTTTCAATGTTTTAAAGTCGAATCAATTTTCAAGCTGGATCTTTCAATTTGAAGAGTTTCATCCTTTCACCCTTTTCTGATTAGTTCTAAAATTTGTGAAAGGTATCAAGGAGATTCAGTTACAGTTTGAATGGATCTTGAAGGTTTATTAGGTTATGTATTTTTGTTATGTATTTTTGGTAATCCGTATTTTTTTTTGAGATTTACCAAAATGAGAAACAGTTGAGTGTGTTAGTTAAAAAAAATATGATTAGACAAAGTTCTATAAATTTTCTGTTGGATTTTGTTGGATCATTATTAAGTTTTTTTATAATATGTGTTTGGTATGTTGTATTCGAAATAAACGAAATAAACTGACATAATTTATTTTCATAGCAACAGTAACCATTTCACTGTCACATTATCTTTATCAGCTAGAAATATTTTTAATATCAGTATCTCTACAATAAAAAAATATAATTTCCTTCACAATAAATGACATTTTTTCATCTAATTTATATATCAGAAATTTTTGTGACATTCACTAATAGCTGGTAGCAGTGGAACAATCAAACTATAGGATTTTTTTTACATTATATGTTATGAAAATAACAGGTTTCAAAAAAATTGATTTTGTTTATTTCTAATTCAGAAAACTCTCACAGAAATTACTTAATAATATCCATTGATAACTGAAACATAGTATCCTGAAATACAACAAACAACTATGAGTATAGAGAATGGTAATTGTGAGAAAAATGAAAGACCAGAATGGAGGCAAGTGGATACGTTAATAAGTGGTGCACTTAACAAAAACAAACAATCAACTTTCAAATATTGAAAAATCCAACCTAAAACACACTTCAATATCACTTCATAATTGAGGTTGAGGCTGGGGAAAAAAGTTGCTTTGGACATATCCAATTGGCATAGAAGATACTTAATATTCACTTTGCTTGTTTGTTTACTTTGCTTGCTAGGTTTACCATTGTTCACTATACTGAACTGATTGCTCTTCGTCATAACTACCTCATAATGCAGCAATAGTTGCTTTGCAAATAGTCTTCAACAAGTTCCCAGTCATAAATTCAAACATTCTGGAAATACGCTACACGAACTCATATAATTGTGAGGCAGGGTAACTGAAGTTACTTTCCTTTGTGACCTCTTTCAATTATTTCATGTTAAAATGAATCCAGTTGATTTATTACTTCTCCTTTCTCAGATAAATCAAAATGGAGGCCTACCTCTTCTTCCCATGAGTAAAATAACATTTGTTTGAAGGTGATTGACAATGTTTCATGATGAATTTCACTAGTTCGGACTTCCACTGTCTACTATATAAAATGATTTGAAATCCCTGAAACAACTAAAAAAGAAGAATTAAAAATGAATAACAATTATATTAAGCAAAATAAACCTGAAATGAAATAATAGTGAAATAAAATACAAGTAAAATAGAACAATTGAACAAAAATAAATAAAAATAAAGAAATGAAAAAAGAAAATAAAAATAAAAAGTTGAGAGATTCCAGGTCACGTTAGTTCACGACGTTTCGATTGTTAGTATCTACAATCGTCTTCGGGTGATGACTGGACTGATTCCTCCGAGAGATGACTATTTATAGGTTGTTCGAGTACTTTCACTTGTCCCCGCTTTCCATTTTCCGCTTCACTGGTTCCGTGGGAGATGATCGTTTGGCGGGAGTTGGCCATTTTTCGCTTGATGATGGGTTTCCATATGTTGCGTATTTCTACGCTGGCTTGGCTGAATACGTTGTTGGACAACATGTAAGCGGCTTCCTTGAATTTTCTCCTAAACCAATGTTCCTCTCTGTGCAAGATCTCAGCTTTTTAGTTGTTTCAGGAATTTCAAATCATTTTATATAGTAGACAATGGAAGTCCGAACTAGTGAAATTCAGTAAAATAACAACAAATTTCATTATTCTAGGATCACAAAGCTGTGTTTACAACTGGTTTTGTAATGATTGCTTTATGTCATAGAAACTCTATATTACAGGTTGCGATCAAAATTACCACAAGCGTTGTGTCGGAAAAGTTCCCAATAACTGTTCTTATACATTGCCAGAAGAAAAACAGCGACGAAAGTCGGCCAATCTTCAAGTACCTCGTAGTCCGTCAGGTGGTTCAAACACATCCCTCGCTTCAGCCAATTCCACTCAAACTGAGGATAGCGGCTTGGTAAGACTTGCAAATTTTTTCACTGGTGTCACACTTGATTGAGTTGTTGGATTCAGGACTTGGATATAGTACTAATACTCAGTACTTGATATTTTTAAACCAACAGGCTGTATATTTTGACAGTTGATATTAACAAATTCCGTCCAGTTAGTGTAATGTTACATATACAAATATTTTTGGTGAAGGTCTTTGAATCATATTTTTTAGTTGTTTTTTAATTTTTTACATTGTATTTACTTATAATATGATTAAAGCCAATTTTATTAAAAGATTTATTTGTTTTATTTTCAAAACCTTTTCAAGTAGATTAGTTTTTTCAATTTCAATTTTTTATTTTATTTTATTTTTTCAATAGTAATTATTATTTTAAAACTTTTTTATTTCATTAATTCAACATAAAGCGTTTCAGTAGTGTAGTTTCAATTAAAACTTTTTTAATTTATAAGTATTGTTCATATAGGACCCTGTTGGTTGTGAAGATATGATTGGTTTCAAATTCAAAATAAAGTCGTCAATAGGTTCACAACTATGATGAGAGTGTCACCAAAATGCTTATATTACTAATATTGTAACAAAAAAATGATGATAAGATGTAATTACTGAAAAGAGGTTCTAGCATTGACGATAATGTGTTATTTCTTTCACGCGTTATACGATTTTGAATTTAAAGGGGTATATTATTTAGGAGAGATTAATTCTCGAAAAAAAGCTTGTTGTTTCTGAAGTACATTTTCTTTTGTGTAATTTAATGTTCATGTGAAAGTAGTTGTTTCGCAAGATCTTTTTCTATCAGATCAAGATCTTTTTCTATATCAGCCAGTAGTGTTCTATTGTGAGAATTAATTACATCTCATTTTAGCTGTATATTCGCGAATAACCATCCATTATTGATGCCTGTATTGTTCACTCATTTCACTCCGAATCAGTAAAAGTTCCATATTACAAGAGCAGCAGTCTGATTTTCCCTGACCACCTATGAAAAACCCTGAAAAAAAAACCTATTCCTTTACAACTTTAATGTCTGAATATTCACTAGGAAATGTATAGGAATTTAGCTGTATTTTTTCAAATAATATAACACTACTGTCTACTAGGATTACTAAAATCATTACAAAATCAACATAGTATGTGCGATGTATAGATAATTTGTTTACGCCAATGTGTTTAGTAATTTTGAGAAAAAAAAAGTGAAATATTTTTTCAATCTGAGAAATACCTATTGAGATGCAATGGATGAAATGTTTCAGAAAACCGCAAAGGTAAGTCAATGAATCTAGGAGTCAAGTGTATGTGGTATAATCATGAAATTTGAGAGGATAAAAGGTATCATTTTAACAAAACTAAAATTATATCAATAAGGGAGTGTCACTTTTAACTCATTGTGATTTCTTGAGTCACACAGTTATTAAAACCATTGGTCACTTTAAAGATCTTCTGATACTGAATGATCTTTAGGATTTTAACATCGCCGCTTAGTATCACAGTGTTGATAAAAGGTTTCGACTAAAAACTCTCTTAGGAAAAACAGTTTTCATTTTAAATTACTTTCTTAATTTTGTAATAAACAATTCATAAAAAAGCATTTCAATTAAAGGGGTTTGACTGAAAACTCTCTTAGGAAAAACAGTTTTCAATTTAAATAATTTCTTAACTTTGTAATAAACAATTCATGAAAAAAGCGTTTCAATAAACCTCTGAGATTCCAGAATATTAGGTATGTCATTCGTCGATGTGTGTGACTTGTTTACCTGGAGTTGGCAACAAGATATACATAGAGCACAAGACTTCTAAAGAGTACTGGCTAAAATATTCGATGCAACTGATACAAAATGAATAGATTGAATCGAAGTTTTTTATTATTCCAAAGAAAATACACTTTTCCCGTATCACAAGACCTGTAATAGAACAGAAATGCTTGAAAATTCTCTAGTAGATATAAACACATGAATCTATCTTTAGTCGGTCGGTAGCCAGGCGGTTTGACGTGGGTGCTTTGTTCACTCACTCGAATTGACTGCCGTGTTGGTCAGTGGTTCAAGCCCCAGTCTGAACGATCGATTTTCACTTGCTGTCGTCCAACCGTTGTTAGGAATCACACGTTAAAAGGTAAGACTTCGTTAATCCCTAGCTCGCACAAGTTTCGACTTCTGAGGGTTGTCGTTCGTAGGGGTGCGACAGCTGGTTAACGGAAAACAGATTTTAAACATTTTTTTTTAAAACAGAATTTAAAATTTATACTAGTTAATCAGTCTGGAACGATATCTATACTGGGATAGGGCATGGAATGAGTTAGTGGATACATTACAGGAATTATTTTTTCCTGTTTTCAAAGGATCAAATATAGAAAATATTCTCAAAATCTAAACATACAGGAAACTGTTAATCTACCAGGCTGGTATGCCGTGGTCGAATGGAACCTGAAGTACGAAACGTTTCGTCTGTATGTGGTATGTGCGTTGACTGCGAGGACACAAGTTGGATCTCGAAAGTCTCAGCAATCTCTGATTGATAAAGTACAGTTAGACACTTCAAAAATAATTTTGTGAGAAAAAATTATTTTTAAAAATCTTACTGAGATATATTTTCATCTTGATTTGATTAATTTTTTACCTATAGTAATAATTTTGCCTAGAATTGACGGTTTGGTCGTTTAAAAACAGATTGATACAATCATTTTCAATTTATGACATATTAACTATGTAACTCATTTGTACGTGTACGAAATGTGTTGAAAAAATAAGGTTAATTTTCATGTTCCTCAAAAAATATTCATTTATTCATCAATTTCTATTTTGTCCCTTTCAAAGTAGTCATATAAGTTGAGTAAATCGTGATAAGGTCGCATTTAAAGAGCTTATAGAGAAAAAAAAATTATTGTACAAAAGATGAAAGGCTAATTATGATTGACTAAGAAAGGATTGAAGTTCCATGGCCCAGAAATATTACAATAGATTTTAAACGTTGAAATAGATGATTAATGTAGTAAATAATCGAAATAAAATAAATTGCAAAATCACAGGACCAAAGAGTTTAGGTATAAACAAGGCAACATGAAATGCAAAAAAATAAATGAGAATATTTGATCCATTTGAAAGATATCGACTTTATAAAAGTGACAGAATCGTGGAATGAGGATTATTTTACAAGTGAATAGGTATACCAGTCTATCAAACATGTTGAATATATTGCAGTGGCTGTCTGTTTCCTAAAAACTGTACGAGTTAACAATGATTTTCATTTTCAAACTAGAACATAACTTGCTTTCAACTTATTTTGAAGAATTCTGTATATACATATATATATATATATATATAGATATCAGATCCATAACCACTCAACAAGAGCGAGTAGCTCCCAAAAATTTCACCTCCGACGAACTAACTTGACTAGTGCAACGAAGTCCTTATTTTATAAAGGTATGAATGTGTATAATAAACTCCCAAATTTGTTGAAAGATTCAATAAATGTTTTCCAATTCAAGAAAGAACACAACTAAATAAAATCTCAACCCTGATTTTTTTTCTGTTCTAATGAATTTGTAATGTGTATCTACATGTTTGAACCAACTAGGAATCATTGTAATTTTTTTTTTCTAGTATTATTTCATCTTTTTTGTTGTTACTTTGTCATCAATTACTTGTACAAACTAATGATTGTGTGAAATGAATATTTCATAATAATGTATGTATATTAGGATTTTCTGAAGAAATTATTAAATATTATTGTCATATATCTATCTTTGCTTAATCTTATAGTCATAATATGATAGAAATTTCAATTCTTTTTTCAAGGAAAACGAATCTGGTGGCATAAACGTTAACATTTATGTTCAACGGAAAACATATTTTGACGTTCAAAACAAGAGGCGTCAACTATCATAATAATTTGAATCAAAATTTGAATAAAAGTTTGATTTATAGTTTTCATTATTTTCTTCAAACTACGTAAGCAATTTCTATCGGTGAAATATTTATGTTAGTATATATCTCGAACGATTTTTGGTGGACTACTAGAATTTTATATGATAAAATGCATGTATATATGACTAGTTACTGAGGTAACAATTGTAATAAATTCTTTTTTATGCCTCAATTTGAAGACTTATGTGCATTTTTTTCAATGTTATACTTGTTACTAGTTCAACTGTAAGTTTTTCATTTTCTTTTCAGATTATATTCATTTTATTCCAATAAAAATCTGAATTTCCCGAACTGATAGGAATTGGAAAATAGAACTGGAATCTCTAGCATTGAATAAATACGAAACAAGAACTTCTCCCAAACACAAGAATTAGTAATTAGACAGTTTACTTCATTTCCTGAAGAATGTTCAAGTTCTGGTGTTTGAGAAAAGTACAGAAGAATCTCACTAATATATTGGAAACCAGAGGGTGCCAGTGCCGGATTATTGAAATGTTCGGATTACTGGATTACTGGATTATAGAGAAAAAATCATAATAAATAAAATAGTGTCTTGTGTTTTCGTTCACTTGACATTTTGGTAACTGTAGAGTAGGGAGGGTGAGTGTAGAGCCACAGCACTTAGTCCACATGTTACCCATTGTACATCCTCTCGAGGAGTTGTCCTCCTAGGTCATCGTCCATCCTGCCCTTTCCAGGAAGGTGAACAGGTCACTAGGAGGTATCTCCTTTATATTGGCAGGTGTAGGCCAAGACTCGCCGAAGACACATTCTTTTTGACAACCTTAAGGTGTCTCACAGTGGCCTCCGCAAAAGTTTTGGAAGGTTCAGCGATATTACTGTCGTTGCTCGGCTTCTTCAACCAGCCGGTTCCTTGCCTTTATTCAAGGCGGAGCTCTTGGCGCCCGCCGCAGGAAGTGCCCTTGCTGTTGGAGGTGATCAGCTATGTTCAGCCTCATTCCAAGCGGTAGATTGGGGTGGTTATTTCTGTTCATCCTCAGCCACCGCCTTAGATTGAGGTGAGCACTTCTGTTCAGCCTCCGGATTGGTTTTTGTTTTTGTTGTTTCTGTTGTTTCATTCATGTGTGTTCCCACGAGTAGCAAGGGAGGATTGGTCACTTCTGGCAGAGCCCCGCATTACCAGAGGTAGGCTGATTACAATGAGGTTTCGGCCAGTCCCCAAGGGGATCGTTCGTGACCGCATATCACCCTGCGACCATTCAGCTGTCGGCACGATTCCTTACACCTTAGCTTGGGTAGGCTGGTCCACGGTTGCATGTTTTGCAAAGGCTTTTGATGGGTTTTAATTCACGTCACCCTACTTATTTTTGTCACCCCGTCCGCCGGCGACCCCGTCCGTAAGGCCACATTGGCTTCCCGGGCAGGGCCTCCAGTCCCCTGGCCGTTCCCCTATCCGCCACCTGGGGATGCCCCCAATAGGTAGCCAAACCCACGGGTCACTTGACATTTTTAACTACTCACTATTCTTACTTCAAAGCAGCAGGTGAATATATACACACGTGTACGTAATAAGTTTTGAGGTTAGACTGCTAGAAGGCGACGGGACGAATAGATGTAGAGGAGCGATGGAGGCGCGTGCGGAGGGTGGCGGATTATTAGACGTATCAGTCTATTGAAGTACTGGATTAGTGAGATTCTATTATACTTGTTTTGGATGATATGAATTGCTACAATAAAAGTCGAGTATGGTCTTGTACAGTATGAATGTGAGTAATGCTTTACTAATACAAGGAGCACGCGTCCTAATTGTTTCACAAGATACTGTTATCATAATAATTACTGTTTGAGATTTTACTTCATCCACATGTTACCTCAAATCAAATTCTAATTAACTGGTTATATAGACACACTCAATTATTATTTACTGAGCAAATGACTTGAGTGTATAGCAAATTAATAAAATCCCTAATTAATTATAATAAGTATTTTGCAGGTTTACATTGTATTTTGTCTAAAGTCCAATATATCTACTTGTATATATTCTACAAATGTGGTTTTGAATCATTCGAGCAAGTAGAATTCTATACTTTTTCTATGACTTTCTCAAATGGGTTATTCACCTAATATCAAATAATTTTCTCTTTGATTCAACTCATATACATTTTATGCTTTTATTTTGTATCCCTTGTAAAGGTTTCAAATGAGAGAAATTAGCAAAACAGGTATTGAATATTTGAGTCAGTTGAAGAAAAATAATTTTTTTCCAGTATTCAAAATGAATATGTTCTGGGTATAATTGTATAGCAAGATTTATCGAAATTTAAATGTAACTCATGAGATCCCAACCAGAAATATATTAGTTTTAAATCTTCTAAAAGTGATTTTTCAATGATATACCTATGTATTTTAAAAAAGTAAATGAGGTATTCTAAAAACACTTTATTGTGTGATTTTCATATAGTTTCAATATTGAGCGATTAAAAAAGTGAAAAAATCCATTGTAGATGACATTTGAACCCAAGTCCAATGTCCCAAGAACTACTTCAAGAAGAAAATTACAAGTTTATGTGACACAGAGTTATTTAAGGGAAAGAAAGTTTTTGGCCTTCTACTTCCCCATCTTTATAATGTGGGAATCTTCCAAAGAAAGGAAGGAAGCAATCAATTTCAAAAATTAACTCTATACAGATGTGTAGATCATACAAAGAAGTAACTTTCAGACACAAACTGGAAAAAAGCCCTCTCAAAAGTTATTTTCTTATAAACATTGAATTACACGAAAGAAAAATACTCGTGGAACAAATACTTTTTTTTGAACGCTGAATTATACGAAAAAACACCTTTCTCTATTCTGTTTGTATTCCAAACATTCGTATGGAATCGAATCATATATCATTCACAGGATTCCTACACAATATAATTAACGAAGGAAGTAAAATTTCACTTAAATGGAACACTGTCATCCTCACTGCTGAACGTCCCATGTTGCGCCGTAAGACACTTGCCTTCTCGGCTCTTCCTTTGCAAATGCGGATAACATTATAAGAAAAAACACTCAATTTGTTCATAAAATTACGACTTTTTGGTCACGGAATGGGTTGAATCCACCCATGTCATTGATGACAGTACGTAAATAACATTTATTCACTTATTTTATTAAGTCCCAGCCAAAGGAATCTTGTTAAAATTGAAAGGGTGTAATTCAATATAAACATTGAATTAGACATGTAATTCAATGTTTATATGAAAATATCTGTTTCGAGAGGGTTTATTCTTCCAGTTTGTGTCTGAAAGTTTGCATGATCTACACATCTTTGTATAGAGTTAATTTTTGAAATTGATTGCTTACTTCCTTTCTCTGGAAAATTCACACATTTGTTGTATCAAGATGGAGAAGTAGACGGCCAAAAACTTTATTTCCCAAAAATTAATCTCTCATAAAAATATTCCCTTTCAATTTAAAAGTTAAGTTTCTAATTACTCTCATTGTATTATTGAGTGATTAACTTTCGCAAAATATCAATTTTTTCGTCACCTTATTAATTTCTGGTGGAATATACTGGGTTTCACTTCCCATGTTTTTACTCCTGTTTTTCGTTAGAAACTATATATTTCAATATGTGCCTCAATATTCGATTTTTTGTTATCGAATATCGCGATAATATCATTTTCATACCTTATCCATATCCTCTTTTCAATAATTACCAATTGTTAAAACCATACACTGAAAAATTGTCCTTTAATCTTCAACTCAACCCATTGTCAAAACTATCCACTGAAAAAATTCTTCTTCAATTTCAGAGTAACAACAGATCACCTACTCTGGGAGGTCGGCCGGTTTGGGTTGAAAAGGAACTGTCGTCCAGAGTGAAAATCCCGCACACATTCGTCCTACACAGTTATACCAGACCGACTATTTGTCAGTACTGTAAAAAATTACTCAAGGGGTTGTTTAAGCAAGGCTTACAATGTAAGGATTGCAATTATAATGCTCACAAAAAATGTGTCCCGAAGATTCCTAAAGACTGCACTGGTGAACTTCCAAGAGATGCCTCAGGTAATTATAGGTCTAACATGCAGATATTCTTCTGGTTGAAAAATAATCCTTTATGCTTAATTATCACGAATGCAAAATATTTTCCAAATAAAGTGACATCAGAAGTCTCTGAGTTATGATGGCGGAGTTTTGCCAAGTGTAAACTTTTGATAGGAAAGACTGTCAAAATCTGAAGTGGTTAGATAGTGGTGTAGGTTTTGTATACAATATTCTACAATATTCTAAACATAGATTCCAAAGAATACATGTGTCGCCATAACTGTAAGACTCTGTATTCATGAAACTATAACCAGGTAGCTTTTTGTGACCAAAAAGCCTAGTTTCACATATAATCCAAGAGTGGTAATGTTTTTACACATATTTTCGTACATACGAGGTTTGTTCAAAAAATAAGGTGAACTTTCATTTTTCTCAAAAAATGTTCATGCAATCATTTCTATTTTGTCCCCTCCAAAGTAGTCCCCTTTAGATGACGTCATTCAACGATTCCTTAGCGATGTTCATGCACGGTTTTTTTGGTAAAAATTCAGCAATTTTGGAACAAACTTTGCTGCCACACACTTCATGCCCAAAATTTCCGAAAAATTGCAAGGCATGTGCCAACCAGTATGCTGACATCCTCAGCAACTTCTCTAATAGTAATTCGCCAATTCTCCATAACAATTTTCTTCATTATCTCAACATTTTCATTCGTATTTCATTAGTTCGGACTTCCATTGTCTGATATTATATAAAATGGTTTGAAATCCCTGAAAGAACTAATAAAAAACAAGAATTAAAAAAGGATAGCTGAAAGTAACAATTATATTAAGCAAAAAAACCTGAAATGGAATAACAGTGAAATAAAATACAAGTAGAAATACAATTGAACAAAAATTAAAAGTTAAGTGATTCCAAACCAAGTTACTCACGACGTTTCGATTGTTAGTATCCACAATCGTCTTCGGGTGATGACTGGACTAATTCCTCCGAGAGATGACATTTTATGGGTCATTTCACCAATTCTTCTATTCTTTCCGATAATCCTCTGATGTAGAGAAGTGCAAGCACTGTTTGTGACGGCTTCTCTTCCTTGCGAGGCCCCTGCTGTCTTTTAGCCAAAGTCTGTTCCGCCATCGCTTTGGAGTAGCTGTTCCGTAGAAGATCATTTTTGATGATGTCTAGTTCCTTATCGACACCTTCCTTTGTATTACAGAGCCCGAAAGCATGGTCTAATAGATTCTTGATGATTCCTCTTTTAGTCGATTGATGGTGTTTGGATTCGTGGTTCAGATACTGTCCCGTGTGAGTGGTTTTTCGGTATAGAGATGTTTCCCACTTAAGTGTCGGTCCTTTTCACCAGTACGTCTAAGAATAGCAACTTGTTGTGAACTTCCTTCTCCATTGTGAAAGTGATGGAAGATCTTACGCTGTATTCCCATGGTTCCATATCATGAAGGTGTCGTCAACGTATCTCAACAACACAAGAGGTTTCTTGTGGGCTTCTTCAAGGCCAGAGTTTTAATTCCTTGTTGATGTTCTGGGGCGTCCCGGAGTGAGCCTCGTCATTCACATCTTCTCGACCTTCTGTGAAAAGCTTATACTAAGTACTTGTAAACATTTTTTTGACTCAGGGTACCACCACTGTATGCCACCGTTAGAAAGTTTTTGAGCACTTCATTCCATTTTTCACACAAAATTTGATGCAAATTCTTTGATTCATTTTTTTCGATAGCAGAAAATCGCCGAACACGCAAAATATTTCTAACTTTTATGCCTCTCATCAACAAACTAAACGTGCTACACCACTGAAACTGTAAACATATGCTCGAGACACGTCTACCACCAAAAAAAAAATCGCTAATCGAATGTACATAGCCCGAGAAATTTGAATATTCATCTCATTTTTTAACAGACCTCGTATTACTTGGATTAGTTCTAAATTCTTTCCCCTACGATTCAACTCTAATTAGTTCTCAAAGTTCGTTTTGACTGATGAAAAAGTAATATTTCATCAACGAATATGTAACCTTCCATCATAAGATTTTCACTTGAATCGATTTGAAATGAGTTCTTTAAAACTAAACTATACAATGTAAATTGTCAATGAGTAGAGTAAACAAAAAAAAACAGAAAAAAAATATCCTCAGTAACAAGGACTGAATCAAAACACTAATTGATCACAAAAAAAAATATTAAAGGACATAAAGAAGCTTTTTTTATGATTTTATAATGAAAGATACCAATCTTAGTTTATGTTGCATGATTTTTAGGAAATTTCGAATATGTTGACAGTTGTGTTAGCAGTGATAGTCATTATAATTCAACGTTAGAGGAAGATGATCAGGAGACCTTAAAAGATTCATTGTCATCGGAAAATGGTAACAATAAATATATTGAAGTCATTCCTGTGCGTGATGATGATGCTGATTTCACTCCATCAACGTAAGTTTCATGATTATGTAATTGATGAATTTTAGATTTTGAAATGAAGGTGCATTATTGAAGCAAATCATTTATTCAAAAAAAAAACACTACTCTAACCAAAACAAAAATGATTTCTCTCGACACGCTTGGCTTACCAAGTTACCATCATCAGGTTACCATGTCAGTATTTATATTCTGTTGAGGGGAAAGTTTTCATGCCAGTTGTTCCAAATTCTCCTTGCTGTTTTGTCAGATATCACCTATACTAAAATAAACATTCTCGAAAGATAGAAAATGGAAATTGAACACCCTGAAGTGTAAGAAATTATAGTTTATTTGAGAGTGTTATAGACCTTCACGAAATTAAAGGAAAGTTATAAGACAATTGAAAAATTGTCACATTTTATAACAAATATAAGAGGGCTGTCCCGTGATATTTGCAACTTGGCATACTGCGAGGCTAGGTATAGTGTAATCTTACCATCAAAAAGAAAGTTCAGGAGATTTTTCACTGATTAGGGGAAATATTCATGACTGTATTATTCTTTACTCAGATTTCTGACTATGTAGTATCATTACTGATTGATCTTAGATTTAAAATGGAAGAGAGAAATATCTACTTAAAAAAAAATATATTCATATTACTCACACACGCACGCGCACACACACATACATAGACACACACTTTTAGTGTCCTAGTTGCCCTGTAGCACTATTGATTTCTAAGACCTGAAAGATATAAAATTAGTGAGTTGTTCAATTTTCTTGTATGCTATAAATGAATAAGAAAAGAGAAAATGATGTATTAGGAAAATAAATATTTCAAAATGAAGATTCAAAACATTCATATTTGTCAGGGTTCTTAAATATAAAGGTCTTGTTAATGCCTGCCAAAAAACTACTTTCCCGGCTAATAGTATAATGAACATTGAATTATATCTGACAAACATGTATGAAAGTTTGCGAATACTTCTCATTCATCCAGCAGCAGTTTATTTTCTTAATACATATGAATGTTTAATGTTTGACTAATCTAATTAAAACAACATATTTCTCTAGCACAGGCAGTAGCAATAACATATATTATTAATTCAGACTAGCTCTGTATAATTTTTGTGTTATTTTGCAGTTCCTCTTCTCCAAGTGCCAACATTCCACTACAACGAATAGTCCAATCTGTAAAACATACTAAACGAAGAGGTTCAAAAGTTATCAAAGAAGGTTGGTTAGTCCACTTCACCAACAAAGATAAAATGGTAAGGTAATTTCCATACTCACACACCAACGATGGTTATGGTATATGTGCCTCCTCAAAAATTTGAACAAAATGACAGATGAAATTCTTCATGAAATAAGTAGTTTTGAAGAATGTGTTGCTGTTGCTCAGCGGATCCTCTTTGCGTACACCAGACTTTTTTCAAAAATAAACAATCGCTTGTCAAGTCACTAGCGGTTCTGAAAGAATAAGGATTTATGATATTTTTTTATTCAGTAAATCTTAGTAGTAATGACCCTTATACACCTTACAGAGAATCTTGACAAACTACACTCAAGTTGTCTCTGGGTTTAACTAAATGTATCACATATTACAATTATAGTTATTGTTTTATATGACTGCATACTGAAAATAGAGTGAAGTATATATTATTATTATAAATATTTTATTACCAACTTCCATCTTTAGACATAATTTGAAAGGTAGGCTGAATATATCAAAACAGGTGAAGGGTTTGACTGGTAATCACATTTTTGGAAATAGTAATACCGACAATCTACAAATTGGTTCACTCCGTCTCATATATGAAAGAATTGAGGAAAGAGTTTTGACTTCAAGTTAATTAAAATCAGTCGCTTTTACTTTTCCTCTTCTTACTTTATCAAGTGAAGATTTCACAGATTTTTTAATGGCTCTTCCCATGGTGCTTTGCCAATGCAGTCCATACTATCTTTTTTCTTTTTCTTTCACATGCACACATATTTCTGCCCAGAAGAAGTAATATTGTTTTCCTGGATAATACAACTTTGAGATTATGTGAAAAGATTTTTTTCAGCTTGGAAGTCAATCCCTATATCGTTGAGTGAAAATAGTGACTATTTTATTGAAAACATTTCGGGTATTGTTGTAGTGATTGTTCTAAATTCTTGATATGACGTGGCTTAGTAGCTATGTTGATAGTTATTATTGTAGGTACGAAGACATTTTTGGCGACTAGATACAAAATCAATTGTGCTATTTCAAAGTGAACAAAGTTCCAAATACTACAAAGAAATACCACTCTCTGAGATTTTGACAATAGATACAGCAAGACTCAAGCAAGGAGGTAGGTACTGATCTATTAAAATACTTCTTGTCTTTTTCAACACTTCCAAAATGGCATTCTAATGCTCCAATTGTCAAATCGCAGAATATACCACTTTTTTCTTGAATACCAGCATAATTAGTTTATTTACTATCAACTGAGGTCTGTTCGAAGTTGTAGTATTATTGTTACTATTAATTATGTCTATTCATTAAATTGATATAAATTCTCAATTTTTAATATTAATTAAAGGCATTTGTGATTTTTTCATAACAGATTCACCCATTTAAATAAATTATTTTTGATAAAAAATCTATGGAGCTGGATTATGTTCCTATGATAAAAAATACTCTCTTGTGTCAACAGTTTATGGAATTGTTTGTAGTTTTGGATTTTTAGGTCGTCGTCTGTTTTGTAGGCACGAATGGTTGGAATCTTCAGAGGTACACGGTGGGGTGTTAGGCTAGAAGGATTTGCTTAGTTGGATGACTAAAAAAACCACACATGACTGGTCAGAAATGGCCTCCACCTCCTGACCGCCCAAACATTAATATAGCTTGCGTCCACAATCAGTGCTGCCATTAAGGTACTATTGTACCACATTCGGTACTATTCCATGATTTTGATACGAAGATACTACCTGGGTCAATATGTAGACTATTCGGTACTATTTACTATAATCCCAATTTTTTACATTTTCACGTTGACTCCCATCGAGTACAGTAAAAAATAACAACAATATGTGTGGCAACAATGCAATTCCGTGTTTCAAGTTCCAGATCAGCAAATACCGTACTTGTGTCAAAATTGCGAGCTATCATCATAAATCTGCATTATTTAAGCCTGTGCTCTGTATTGTGCCTGTGAACTGTGGTTCTGTCATCTGTCAGTCAGTCAGCAGAACAGCAGTTTCAACTTCTAACCTTAAACCTCACCTTGAGAAATTGGTTTTATTGTTTTGTCAAAATAAATAGGAATATGGACAGGTAAAAATGAATTCTCGAATCTAGCTACTTGAAAACGTCTTTAGTATTGTTCATTCTATTGTGACAGAAACCTAATTAAAACAAAACACATTTGCAATCATGAAAGAGCAATTCGAAGAAGGAAAAAGACACCTTTTTATCAAATGTTCTGATTATGATCTTTCTCTTAAAGAACATTTCTTAATTTCCAGCAAATTTTTTACTCCATATATTTTCCGAATTTAAATGGATAACATTATTACACGTTTGGCATTACTGACATTTGGTCTGAAATGACTTATGCGCATGTGCCATGCCTAGTCTTGCGCAGTACATTTTGGGTACTATTTTCTTGTAAATTTCGGTACTTTTTGAATTGACGTTGCGGCAGCACTGTCCACAATCCCGCCAGTGTACCTCCAAACTTGAAAATGTTAACACAAACCTGTAAACAAGACAGCCACTCGCGACGGAAAAATGTCAGAAAGAAATTTCAAAAAGGCTTAAAAACTCAAAAATACAAACACTTTCAAAAGTAGCTACGAAAGCTTAACTTTCTATAGTTTATCTTGCATTTATATTATTATTAGATAAACCAGAAAATATATTGTCATACTTTCCATCTTAATACAAAAAATATGGGAATCTTCCAAAGAAAGGAAGGAAGCAATTGATTTTAGAATAAATTCTTCGCAAAGATGTGTGAAGGGTATTCTGAAATTAATTGTATAGAGTAAAACATGCCTGAAGAAGCCATTGTAAAGCGAAACACGTGTTGCGTTTTTGTGAAATTGTTTAGTGAAAATCGCATAAAAAATTGTTTTTTGAATGTAATTGCTTTTTTCCTTTCTTTAGAAGATTCCTACATTTTTTTTGTATAAAGATGTGGAAGTAGAAAGTCAAAACCTTTCCCAAAAATTGATCCCTCCTAATAATATACCCTTTTCAATTTATTATTTAAGGTCTCATTACATTTCAGAATATATGCATTGTTTCGAGGTAAGAACTGCCAACATAGACTACTTTGTTGGGCAGGATCCTTTGTACGATCTGCAAGATGGAACTTTAGTTAATCTTCCACCTCCTGATAGTGGTGTTGGGGCTTATCTTGCTAAAAGTTGGGAATCTACCATTCGACAAGCAATAGTACCTGTACAAGCCAATGCAAGTGAGTAAATTCTCAATTAATTCCAGATTGGTCATTGAACCAGATGATGGTGTAAGGTGGCTCAAAGTTAACGTTTGTAGTTATCTTATATACTTTTCCCATTTTCAGAACATGAAGAAACAAGTGCTAGTGAAGAAAATATAACGGATATGAGTCAGATTTATCAGATTTACCCGGATGAAGTTCTTGGATCAGGACAGTTTGGTATTGTATATGGTGGGGTACATAGAAAAACTGTGAGACCTGTTGCAATCAAAGTACTACCAAGAATACCACAAAAAGTTCTTTTTTTTCACTTTAACTTCGTAGGTCATTGATAAATTAAGGTTTCCAACAAAACAAGAAGCTCAACTCAAAAACGAAGTAGCCATTCTTCAGAACTTGTCCCACCCAGGAGTTGTTAATTTAGAGCGTATGTTTGAAACACCCGAAAGGATATTTGTTGTTATGGAGAAACTCAAAGGTGATATGCTGGAAATGATATTATCACATGATAAAGGCAGGCTGACTGAAAGGGTCACAAAGTTTATAATTACTCAAGTGAGTTTCTTTGTAACTGTTCCTTTTCAGAAATACATCTTTATTGATTCAACTTTAATTGATTATATCAACTGTGCTTTTTACTGATAATCGTTTGGAAAGATTTTCAAAACAATTTGTTGAAGGATAACAAAAAATTTCACAATGTAACCAAAGATGTTGAAGTATTGTGGAGTTTTAATATATTTCAGTTATTTAATGTTTATCAGCATTCGAAGTAATTTGTTTACCATGCTCCAAATAACAGCCTTATGAAGCTGTTGAAACCAAGAAATAAAAGACTGATTTGACTTGAATCTTTTACTCCTATGTTATATTGTATCTTATTGTAGATAAATTAAAGACATACATTTGGAAAACATCGTTAATGTATTTAATTGTGAATTTCATGAAATATTAGTTGAAGATAGTTTAAAATCCAATGACCTGTGAAACCAAGTCTCTACTGAATGTTATGAAATACGTGGCTTATTACAAATACATTGCTTATTACTAATTACTCATTTTGTTAGATTGTACGAGGTCTGTTCAAAAACAAAGGTGTCTGTTTAAATTTATGTTGGTATACTCGTCTCGAACATATGTTCACAGCTATTTAGCATGTTTAGTTTGTTGGTGCGAGACATAAAAGCGTGTTCGGCGATTTTCTGCTATAAAAAAAATAGATCAAAGAATTTGCATCAAAAAATGGAATTGAGTGCTCAAAAACACTTGAAATGTTGAGAAAGTGAAGAAATTTGTTATGGAGAATCCTTTAATCATTATTAAAGAAGGATGCTGAGGATGTCAGCATATCGGCTGGCTTATCCCAAGCAATTTTTTCGGAAATTTTGGGCTCGAAGCGTGTGGCAGCGAAGTTCGTTCCAAAGTTACTAAGTTTTGCCAAAAAAATCGTCGCAGGAGCATCGCTCAGGAATTGTTGAATGACGTCAACGGCCATCCAGATTAAAGCGTCATAACTGGTGACGAATCATGGCTTTATGGTTATAACTTCAAAACAAAAGTACAATCGGTCCAATGGAACAGCCCTGGGAGCCAAGACCAAAAAAGCACGGCAAGTTCGATCAAATGTCAAGGTTTTGCTCACTGAACTGAATCGTTGAGAGAGCAGGACATACGAAAAAGTGCATATCAGAATTGTTTTGAGGGGACTACTTTGAAGGGGAAAAAATGAATATTGAAGAATAAAAGAATATTTTTTGAGAAAAATAAAAATTTACCTTATTTTTTGAACATGTCTCGTATGCCGTCGTTTCAAACAACTAATGATTTAACAGTATGGTGTATACATAAAACAAAGCGTGGTTGCCCTTGGAAACTTTTCTTATCTGTAACAGAATTTCGACAGGGATTGGTTGTTTATATTGAAAAACAAAATGAGAAATTTGACTAATTGTTCTGATCCTGTAACTTATTCAAAAAACACTTTATCGTGAGATTTTCGCTAAACAGTATTACAAAAACGCAACACGTGTTCCGCCATACAATGGCTTCTTCGGTCATGTCTTTACTACCAGTAAACTCACTTACTACTAGTAAACTTACTTTACTATTAAAGACACGCCTGAAGAAGCCATTGTATGGTGAAACACGTGTTGCATTTCTGTAGAACTGTTTAGTGAAAATCTCACAAGAAAGTGTTTTTTGAGTACTTTATTTATGGATTTTCATCAAGTATCGGCCAGTTCTATCATACATGTGCTAACCCTGATAAATATCAAATTATGTATTACTGACCTAATGTTTAGATATATTTTATTCAACATAAGGAGCATAAATAACCATAACAATAAAAGAGAGCTGAAATAATTTCTCCATGAGAACTCATAATAGCTTAATAGAGTTAAGTGATGAAAGTTCAACTAAAAAACAGCACTAACTCTAATAGTTGCAGTCTTTATTTTCCAAACTACTCCACAACAGCAGTCTTGGTCTTAGGAAACAACAATAGGCTTTGATATTGTCTTCTTGAAAAGTCGGGGATTCACAACACTTGACATTTCTTAATTTACTTATCAACTATGTTTGAAGAATATCCATCGCTTTCAGCTATGTCCCTGTTAACATTTTTGTCAATATTGCTTTACTTAAGTGGAATGTAACAAGTCTTTAGACAAGAAAGTTTAGTGGATGATGGTGGTCATTTTTCAATGCACATCAAATTGTAGCCTCTTGCAGGCATTTTTTATCACCAGTATATCTTGGAATAGTCCCTCATCTTTGTTATCCGGGGATTTTTTCTAAATGGATAGTATTTAATGAATAATTCACTATTGCTTTTATTACTCAATTTTTGCACTTCACCTATATAATTTTTTCAGCCTATGGTTTGAAATTATTTGAGCCCCTTATTGAGTAGATAGAAATGGAAGTTGAGAGATTATCAAACTTCCTCATTACTACTCACGTAACTTTTCGTAAACATACACATTGATAAAAGCATAAATGTCACTTGTTCTGACAACCAGATAGACTACACTATTGTTAGAACTGCAGAACTCATTGCCTTTTTTGTATGTTTTATTTTTCAGAAATTGAGAAACAATTCTGGAGATCAAAACAACATTATTTACCATTTCCATCCTGCTCTGATATCTGACAACACCGCTTTGTTTACATACAAAACTGCAACTGATGTTGGTCTACTTTATACACACACCTTTCTTTTCAACACATTTCATTTTGCAGCACCACACATCCCTGATTTACTCAATTCAACTCCTTTGCCATCATTCATAGTTTGCTCATCTTCAAACACAAATCCATAGAGAATATGCTTTCTAATCTTGATACATACTCTATAGGTTTACGAGTTCTGTGGTGAACGTGTGAAAGGCAGTCAAATATGGATTTATTTGAAAAAATTTAATCATTTTAATTTAATCAAGCGAGAGTCTTACAGTATCATAAATTGTTAGGGCTTATATTGTATTAACAATTATATTTTTTCATAATCATTAATTATCGTCACTGTTATATTCACAGATATTAGTAGCTCTAAAGCATTTACATAGCAAGAATATTGTCCATTGTGATTTGAAACCTGAAAACGTACTACTCAGTTCAGATGCCGAATACCCTCAAGTAAAGCTTTGCGATTTTGGATTTGCCAGAATCATAGGAGAAAAATCATTTCGAAGATCAGTTGTAGGAACACCAGCTTATTTAGGTGAGCGTTTTAGACAAAACCAAAGTCATTATGTGTCTACAGGCACAACTGAAATCTTGTTATTTACAAAATGTTTTCTAACTTCAAGTTATGAATGTTATGGGTTATTTTCAGCACCAGAAGTTCTTCGAAACAAAGGCTATAATAGATCTCTTGACATGTGGAGTGTGGGTGTTATAGTATATGTTAGCCTCAGTGGCACCTTTCCCTTTAATGAAGATGAAGATATCAACGAACAAATTCAGAATGCCGCTTTTATGTATCCGCCAAATCCTTGGAAGGAAATTTCTTCAGATGGTAATAGTCATATTCGTTAGAAATTCTAAGAAACATACAGCATGTATAATTATATTTCACTTAAACTTTTGCAGTTATGTTCATCGATTTCGTATTTATAACTTATTTGTGAATGTATTACAAGTTAGGCCTTTTATATAATTTAATTCCTTTTTTTCAGCAATCAATCTCATCAATAATTTACTTCAAGTGAAGCAGAGGAAAAGGTACACAGTTGATAAATCATTGGTGCACATCTGGTTACAGGTACATCAATTCAGTACATACTTCATAGACAAAAAATCATTGTGCATTATTGAAAGCTATGCTTAGTCAGAGTAGTAGGCATAAATAAAAAGGCATTAAAAATACTCTGATGAATTATAATAATGTAACGATTAATATGGCATTAAATAATTTTTTATTTTGATTATTGTTCAACTCCACACTGTACAACAAAATTAACACCAGCAAAAATGTTTCTTGGGAGATAGTTACACAATCATTTTAATAATAATGATAATAACAATTTATTTTCCCAAGAAACATACAATGTTTATAGCAGGGAAAAAACAATAATTCAAAAAACTAACTACAATATCGAATGATCAATCAGATTTGAAAACTTCTATCTCAGAAGCTCAAAATATGCTAAAATTCTGCTATAAAGATAACAGATTTGTTCTTTTTAAAACTGATGAAACAGTGACAGGCGGTTATTTTGAAACGCATAAGAAAAGCAGTATACGTGGACTTGAAAAAATAAGGCAATATCGAAGCTTTTCACAGAAATTCGAGAAGATGTGAATGACAACGCTGGTCCTGGATCCCCAGCACATCAGCAATCGATGAACATGTTGAGAAAATGAACAAAACTGTTATGTAGAATCGTCGAGTCACTATTAGAGAAGTTACTGAGGATGTCAGCATACCAAGAGCATATTAACAGAAAATTCACAAATTTTTACGAAATATTCAATGGAAACGTTATTCGAAAAAAAAATCATCTTGTGAAATCAAAATTAGCTGCGCAATGGAATTTAGATGATATGTCTCGAAATGAAACAAATTATGTTTCACAAGTCAAAGAAGTCCTATGAAGAATGTGTTGAATAAACATGTACTTTTTAAACTTGAATTCAACTTTTTTTAAACCTCAATTAAATCAACATTTCTTTTTGAAACTGATATCAACATTTATTTTTAAACCTCAAATCAATATTTAAACCGAATGATTCGGCTGAATATCCGGTTCGGTAAAGGTTAAACCGAATAGTATTCGGTGAAACCACTATTCGGCGCATCTCTACTTTCAATCACATGATATTGTTACAAATAATGGAACATCGAAAAGTTTTGTTGAGAAAAAAAATTAACTAGACCCAAGCAAATGCTAAAACTTCCAGATTGTTTAGTATATTATTAGATTTTATATGTATATATTTTTACAGATAAGTAAAGATTTTTTAAGGAGAAGATGTAATGTGTATGTTTAAAATTGTAGCACTTTGTAAAAAGCAGCGTAATTGTATGGATACGAGGTTACGTTTTATATGTCAACGTTTTTTTAGGGTTTTTAGTAGTCAGTAGAAATGAAGGCATGAACGTGTTCACTTGGGCTATTATTTTTATATGTTGTGATTTCCTCCAAATTAAAGAAAAATTCACAACTTCAATTAAGTGATACTATGAATAAATATAGTTAAAAAAACTAAAAAACACGCTAGATATTGATAATCATTTTTGAGACTCTCGTATATTCATCAATTTTTTAGACTCTCGTATATTCATCAATTTTTTTTTCAAGTTTCAGTTTTGATTAATCACTTTTTTATTCTGTTCATACTTAGTTGTGGTATTGTTTTGAATGCAGTATTTTCAGTGTTTGAGTAGAGCATTTGATGCTACTTCCCAAATGCTGCAGTTTTGAATGAACTAAAAAAAATGATTGAAAAATATTATCGACATTTTTATTGTGATTCCTGAAAACTCAATAAATTGTGGGAAGTACAGTTGGATACATTTTTTACAGATTGATTATCAATCAGTAGAAAATATTAGTATTTCCATAAGGCAAATAAAACAATGAATTAATCAACATAACTCTACATTTATTTCAGTTTTACTATTAGCATGAGACCAGTGATCTTCGTTCGCTTTAACGTCGAATTTGGCTGCGATTCTGGAGATAACACACGGAACGATGAACGGGTACTCGTACTTGATGACGACGCTGTATTTTCGGGTCCTTTTTTGCTTAAATTTTCTTAATTATGCTCAGATTTCAATATCTGTGTAATTGTTGGTCACTGTATTGCACTGAACTAGACATTTTTATTTTTTTTATATAGTAGACTGTACCAATAAACTCCACGGAAATATGAAACAGTCAAATCTTGAGTTAGTAAGAATATTTTACGCAGATGAACTATATTTGTTTTTGTTCTGTTTGAAACTGATAGACAAATGATGTACACTTTCACGGCCGGAGATAACTGTGTGAAACCTATTTTCCGGGTTTTTTGGCCGTGGTCTGTAGGTTTTTATGACTTTTTTATTGAATTTATCCCTGTTTTTTGACTTTCTGTTGCCTTCTATATACTCTTGGATAGTAATTCAAAACCACAGGGATAATTTCTATAGAAAAGAAGAGGCAATGAAAATCGTAACAACGGGAGAACCTTCAACACATCGTCTTTGATAATGTAATGATAATGTTGGCCTGCAGACCACGGCCAATAAACCCGGAAAATGGCTTCCACACTGATTCTTGCTTGCTTCACATACCACTCTCCGCTAAGAGCCGCGCAACACCGGGCGATCGTTTGCATGTCTCTTTCCGGTCCCGCTAATCCTACGGATCCCGCAACACGCGGGATTGGAAAATGATGCGAGATCCCGCAATACTGAGATGTCGCTATTCCGTGCACTTAATAAATTCCATCGGCCTGTCAAATTTCAATGACAACTTTTTTGTACTCAAACTTCTAAAAATTTTTGCAAGTTGTCTGTCATTCCTCTAAAAAAAAAATTCATTGAACTCAACCAAAAGCAGAGTATCATCAATAAGATCAAAAGCTCTACTAAGAGTAGGTAGAATAGACCTTTCTTTTTTGTTGAATATAAGTTGAATTTAAATCTGTATAAATTAAACGTCTACAACATATTTGGATATATGATCCACAAAAAATTATAAATCTTGATCATTAGTTGAGAATAAATTTTTTTTTCAGGACTACGAAACATGGTGTGATCTGAGGACCTTGGAAAACCAAGTGGGTGTGCGATATTTAACACACGAATCGGATGATGCGAGATGGGAGCAACATAGATCTTCCCAATGACCTGAAAAGAGTTGGCTTCACAGTGTCAAAAAGTGCCTTCGTGGTCTTAGGACATGAGAAACCAAAATTCGAATATGAATTACTAGCACAAGGAATTGGACTACCTTAGTGAAGCATTTAGAACTGACGGTTACTGGAAGTATTACAAAAAGTTTATCTAAGAGTAGCATTTTACAGAAAACCTCATGATTAGTATGCGAAAAACAAGGTAGAGGGTATTTCATTATGAAATGCGAATCCGTTATGGGTAGATAAGGGACACCCGGTTAGTTCTAAATAACCTATATTTAATGGAACACAGATTCTTCATAACCAAGATACAGGATAGTTGATCAATTTTGATCAGTTCGTTAGTTCAACTTTTTTTTCATATTTGATACATATATTCTTCTTCCAATCTAGTGTCGAGTACTATATAAATAAGGAACCCATATCCATATCATTAAAATTTTAAAACTTTATTTGAATTTTAAAAAAGAGCAGGAACAATTAAGGTAATTTTAATATATTCAGTATTTCTGCACAAAATTTTAATATTTATTAATTTGACTGAGATGTAAATATTTTGGTAATAGGGTGTACCAAATGATATTTCTTCCTAAGTGACCATATTCGATAAGCATTAGTTGAGGCCAGGTTTTATATTTCATTCTCAGAAATCATTTATGTTTCATTGTTGGTGATCATGATTGTCGCCACAACTGTCTTTCTGTTTAAAATCTGTATTCCGTTAATAAGCTGTCGCCCCCATACGAACGACAACTCTCAGAAGTCGAGAAATTTGTGCGAGCTAAGGACTAACGAGATCTTTTAACGTGTGATTCCTAACTGTCAATGTCATTAGACAAATGAATTAAGATATTTAGCATATTTTAACCATTTTATAGAAAGCAGTGTCTCCAATCAAAAGGTAAAACCCAGCTACCACTTAAATCCTTATTGAATCTCATTCAAGTGACTGCATACAAAAAGTAAAAATCGTCACAGATAATATTGGTGTTGAGTCAGATACGAAGAAAAACAATAAAGGAATTCTAAAGGGAAGCATAACCGAGCTTATTTCATTATTGGTTTTTATGAATGATATTTTGGAAATTTTCAAGGATAAAAATAATGATCCTTATCAGATAACAAAATATGCTGATGATTAGAATCTATTAATATCCGACAACTATTTTCCAGATTTGATAATTCAATCAAACAAATTGATAAATAACGGGCCCTTTTTTTCAACACAACAATGAAAAATCCAAACCGCAAATGAAATGAAATTAAAAAACTATACAATATTCATAGGTTAGGTCCAAAGTGAGTGGGTTTACTCGACCGTCCACCGCAACCCGCAAGGGTTTATTGTGGCTCACATCTATTCACACTCGACCAAATAAACCCAGCTTCTTAACGAAGCCGATTAGTTTGTATGGTGAGTGGTCTTTCAGGTCAGATGGTAAGAGTACGTCTCTGCCGAACTCTAAAAAGCTGATTCGGTCCCCAGCGGGGCAGGTACAAAGTATGTGCTCTGCTGTTTTATCATTTTACAAACAGAGGCGACACACGCTGTCTTCCGACAGTCCGAGTCTCTGCATTTGATGATTCAAATGATAGTGACCTGTAAGGTCTGTTAGACATCGTAGTTCATTCCTACTGTAGTCCAACAACTGTTTGGTATCAAGCTTCGAAGGGTGAATAAACGCCTTGGAGTGAGCTAATTCTGAAAGATTCTGCCAGAAGTCCATAAATATTCTTGCCATCCAGGTGTTCAAAGTTTGTTTGGCAAAGCCTAAAGCGATGCCAATGACAGGCTATGATCCGATGAAGCTGCTTGCAGCATCCTCCTTTGCAAGGAAGTCAACAGCCTCATTGCCTTCCAGGCCAAAATTCATAAGATTCCATATTCATGAGCACTTCCATTGGCATACACATCTAATTAATTTAGGCACAAAACTTGATAAAACATGTAATAGTACTAAAGTTGTAGTTTAGATCTAAAGACCTAACCTACATTTGTAAGTAAATATTTGAATGAGAAATTATTAAGAATAATTAATTTCGCCATTAGAAGTATTTTTAAATTGAATTCTTGGAACCAGAAAATTCAGTTCACAATGAAGAAAAAAGAGGAAGGGAGAATTGCTTTTCTGGATGTATTAGCGAAAAGACGGGAGAGTGGCAGACTGGGGCATGAAGTATACAGAAAGCCAGCACATACGAACCAATATTTGAACAAACACTTCAATCATCATTCGCAACAGAAAAGAGACGTTATCAAGACTCTGGTAGATATGTCTACAAAAAAAAAACAGAAAGCAAAGCAATTCCCTGTAGTTTTTAATGTTTGATGGATTTTTTTTCAAAAAGGGGAATACCACAGACGTTTTTCAATAATTTTGTGAAAACTTCGGGTATAGAGATATTTTTTCAATTTCATTATCTGTTCTCAACTTCCTGATATTGAAATGAATCTGATTTTCCACCATTGCTTTTGAATTTATGAAAGAGTTTATTTTTGTTTCTCAGTAAATATCCGAAGCTCTTTCTTGAAAACTTATCAGTAAATGTCAGAAGATATGTGTTCCGTCTCATGTTTTTCAGACATTGGTCCAAAAAAATTCAGGGTGAATGACATCTAAAAAGTTAACTCTGTTTACTACACTTTTGGGAAAATGTTTCATCTTCTGCCTTCCCTCAATGCATGGTACGCATCCTGTAGCCAATCTATTCTTAAGAGCACACATACCACCATAGCTTAAGTGACCAAGAAGCCTGTGCCACGTATTTGATGATACAGCAATGAATCCCGATGATTCTGAAATAGCATCTGCGAAATAGCATCTGCGCATATTTTTCCACTGTTTGCAATGCAGTTTCATTCAAAATCTGATCTAACTTATATAATCTTTCAATGTTTGTAACCGTAACATCCGAATTTATATTATGGAACAATTTTCATAAATTCGGCATATGTCATTGTCAAATGTTTAATCTTTTTTTGGCAATTTTACTGACAGAAAGTAAATTGGTAGCTATATCAGGAACGCACATTACATCAATGATTATTGGGGCAATCATTAATTATAAAATCAACCTTGACATTTCCTGAACCAACACTGTATAGTTTGGTTATTTGCTAAAGTGACATCGTTTTTACTATTATAAATGTCGCTAAGCCCTAATGTTCACACATATGAGAAATACTTCCTGAATCTATAATCAAATTCTTATCATTATATGGAGAAGTTTTCAAAGCAAATACAAATAACAATTTCTCAGTAGTTGTATTTTTTTGTTTGCTATCTATCTTTGAGTCAACTTTTCCTTCATTTCTCAATTCATGATATTTAGGTTTGATGTGTCTTTTCCCACAGTAGTGACAAACCAAATATGATTTTTCCGATTATTTCAAAGTTGAATTCGTGTTTGTGAATGCTACTTCAGTGGACACACTTTAAACTTTATTTGTGTGATATTCTTCTTGAAGTGAACATGCTCAAACCATCTAACTTGAAATCGTAGTTTTCATATTTGTAGTTTTTAAGTTACAAACTAGTATATCATATTCTTAAGGTAAACCACGCAATAACATTATTATTGAAAAAATTTATTTGAGTCATTTGAAATCTTCTCAAACAAGTTCATCTCAAATATTATCCAAATCAAAACTAATATGCAGGATGTATCACAAACTTTGACCACCCCTACATCCTTTTTTTTATTGAAAACGTGGTCAAAAGCTGTATTTTCATTATTCATAGTTTTCAAACTGCTACTTGTTTATAAACAACTACATCACTTTTGAACAAATCGCAGCTTACTAAATACTTAAAATCAAAACGATTGAAAGAGTGTGAGTTATTTTTCATCAGAAAATCATATTTGATCGAACAAGTTGTTTCAAATCTTCTCAAATAATCATTCCTTCAAATTTAATCTCAATTCTGTAAATTTTCAGAAAATCATATTTGATCGAACAAGCTGTTTCAAATCTTCTCAAATAATCATTCCTTCAAATTTAATCTCAATTCTGTAAATTTTGAGATTTTTATAAATGGTTTGTATGAAAAATTAACCTAATTCCATAAATGAAGGAAAAGATATACACAAGTCAAAGTCTATTTTTCAAATATAATATACATTCAAACAGAAGGCAAAAAAACATTTCAGCAATTATTACAAGCTAATTTTCTTTCTCATAATATCTGTCTGAATAATTTTACTACTGATATTTACCTACATAATTATATTCTATGCAACGACATTTTCTCAGTAACGCTCAGTAACAAATTTCTGAATATAAATGTCAACTTGTAAGTAAGTGTGATTGAAATAGGAATGAAGCAATTTTGAAAGCTTTCACAAAGTAAAAGTGTTTTATTGAAGCCCTTCATTTGTTTGGCTGCAACCCTGTTATTTTTATAATGATATTTATATTGATATTAATGTTTTTTTTCTAAATCAACCGTCTGAGTGTCCCTCATCTCCCCATAACATATGCGCATTTTCCAATAAAACACATGTATCACATCTTTCAAAAATCATTATAGATATCTCATCAATGAAAATGTCTTGTAGTATTCAACTGAATACTAATATAACCTCAGATTAGAAAGTTTTTTCAAGAAAGGATTCTGAGAGATTTCAGTAATGTGTCTACTTTTTGGTAAATGACATAAATCCTAATACTCCAAAAAATATAATTTTTATTCAGTTTTCTATCAAGACTACTGGCTGAACAAATTTTATCATTCCTGAATTCTTATTTATTTTTTTATTTATGTTATTTAATATGTGTATTATTTTTGTGTTTTATTTATACAACTTAGTAATTGAATAAAATTTACGAATTTTACATAGTATTTATTTTTCTCTTACCTTATATCAGTACAAAATTTCACTTCAATTCAGAATACAACACTTATATTCATAACAGTATTAATTTTTTTAAAAACTCAAATAGTATAAACGAATCATCACACATCAGCTGTTACAAGTTGGTATCGATTTTGACCTTTATTCAACAAGAAACCTTGAATATTGAGATTCTGTAGAACTGTAAAAAAATTGTTTTTTCCAATTCCTACCATTTCGCCCATTTCTTTCAGTTCATTGGTGGAAAATAAAGCTTTTGATTCTGTATCAGACTTTCGCTGAATTAACCTCAGTAACTTCGTAATCTAAAAATTATTGAAATTTTACTAATCATAAAATTTACTTATCATGAAAAAATAAAACTCCAATACCTACCTGACTCTTTGTGCTAGTTCCGGTACCGTTTTGCGATCTAGTTTTGTCTAATATTCCAGAACTGTCTGTAAAAATATCTATTAGGCTGAATTTCATTATTTCAATCACGTCTTCGGCGTCTTCCTTGGTAGCTTCTTCTCTTAATTCAGCTTTGGCTCTTGCCTGAAATTATGTAGATATTAGAAGTAATAATTATCAATAAGATAAAGAAGACTTTTTCAGGTCATTCAAATATACAGTCAATAATTCATATTTCTATCTCCAGACTTTTGGATAGTCGTTTTGTAACGTGATTCCCATACGAGAGGGAGTTCTCCAAAACTGAGTGAAGCTGAAGAAAAAATTAAAAAATAGTGATCTTCATGAGATTCCATTCTGTCCTGGATCCAATTGAGGCAGTTTATTGAAAATAATTTCTGAACTGATTATACAACTATTCAACTCTTATGTCATCACCAAAAGTGTTTAATGTTTGTTATTGTATTTGTTTCACTAATAATAATCTTCAACAGATTAATTGTAAACTAATCAGTGACGTCATTTGACAGCTTTTACAATAAATCAGTGGAGTTAATCTGATAAAAAAAGGAACAGGAATTATATTTATATAAATATAAGACTGAATAATTCAAAGAGTATATCAGCATTATTTTATCTGATCGTAAACAAAATGTAACCAAATACTTATATTACTGAGTTAAAACAAGAGCAACAAACAGTGTAGAGAATGAATCAAGGAAAAATAATTTAAATAGAGTTGGATGTAGCATACGAATTTTAAAGACGTAATTTCCGAATTTGCTGCTACTAAAGCTAGAAATGAGAGGTTTCCATATTTTACAAGAGGAGCTACTGTTTCCATGTTCTATACAGGCTGATTCACGGTGGATGGCACATTAGACGTTTCTGGTGAACCATACAACGGATCACTTTGAAAATTTAATGGAGGGCATATTCGGACATTCTCTAGCCAACTAAAATATTTTCGACAATGCGGTGTTGCCGCTTCTATTAGAAAGCAGTAGCAACTTTGATTTTTCAAATGGAACACTCTGTATATAATATTATTTTTGGAATCTCCAACAATTGCC